GATGGTATGGGGGGGGGGGGGGGTTGGGGGTGGCGGCGAAACACTTTTCCGGCCAAGTGCTTTGGTATGGAAGTTTAAATGTGTTATAAGCACCAGTCTTCATTTGCTTATTTTAGTTTTCAATTAGAATGGAAGGTCCAATCTCGGTGCATATGGCTTATCGAACGATATCGCTCATGATTGTATATTTTTTCTCGTATAGTACCATCAATAGATAAGGAACTTTAAGTTTCGTATCTATCTTTCAACATTTGTTCTCCTTGAGCTAGCCGCATAGTTTTAATGCACGGCATTTCTCGTCTATCAACAATAGTTTCCCAATTAGGAAGGACCGCTTAAATATTGGATGAGAATAAATCTCCGTGAAACACTTAGCATACCGCTGCCTGGGTGGAATTCATTGTCCATATAGTTTTGCTTAGATAGAGGTTTAGTTTAATAACCCATACGTCATAGGTAAATTTTCATATTTTAAGAAATTTCAGGCAGAGGTGAACTCGAATAAGCCGGAGCTAAAGAAGAGTCAACTATCGTTGTGAACTTTCTCCTCATTTGAGATTGTTGAGAATTATTAATCAATTTCTCCCCATTTATTTTTTTTAACATAACAGCTGCTTATTGGTTAGTAGTTAGGGTTTGTTTCTTTTTCAAATTTTTGACCAACCCCTTTTAAAGTTCTTTATTTTTTGGCTTCAAACTCGTGGAATTGTTCTGTGCAAAAAATTATTTTTTAATGGTGGGGAGATCTAAAATCTTTCTCGTTTGGTAAGCCGAATCCATTCGTTTATCAGCCCCCTTGAGCCCAGTTATCAGATTGATTAGACTTCTAATTGATAACAAAAATCAACTGCCTGATAACTACATCATATGTAGATAAGCGTTGAGATAATTGAGTTTTGACAACTGCCAAGCTAATGCCACTAGTTCTAGTTTGTTCAGTGATTAGCCGCTATGTGGATGAATTATACTTCTATTAAGAAACCCCACGTTATGATGAAAAATAAATTATTATTTTATTTTTTAAAGTATGATGGAAAATATTTTGCAGCTTTAAGGTGGAAATATGCAGGTTTTTATGTGACCCCCCAAACTAGATAACAATTTCTCCGATATAAATACTCAAGAAAACTCCGTCTAGACGTCTTGAATCCTGTCTTAATCCATTAATCACATTTAAAGTGTTACACATAAAACAACAACCACTATGAATTTACTTGGTGAGAAAGATAAATCTAATGTCACAATCGACATCGAAAAACGTGGGTCGTCAGACATCAATAGTTATCAACCTGAACCACACATCATCTCAACAGGGTTTGACGATTTCGATGATAAGTTAGATGTGGCGCAATATGGTCAAATCCAAAGGAAATTAAATGCTAGACATGTTAATCTTATGATTATTGGACAATCCATTGGTTCCGGTCTTTTTATTGGGCTTGCTACTCCTTTGACTACATCAGGTTCCTTGTCTCTTTTCTTGGGTTTTTTGGTCTGGGCATGTTTGGTGGTGTATCCTTTAATGCAAGGTGTTGGTGAAATGTGCAGCTACTTACCAATAAAAGGTACATTTTTGCACTATTCTGCAAGATGGGTTGATCCTGCTTTAGGTTTTGCTTGCACTTTGATTTATTTGTATACCTCACTTATGTTTGTTTGTTTGGAAGCTGTTGCTTTCGCATCGTTAATTAGTTTTTGGACAGATGCAAACCCTGCAATCTTCATCACAGTTTGTCTTGTATTATATCTTTTCGTTAATGTATTTGGAGTAAATTGGTATGGTGAAATCGAATTCTTTAGTTCCATTTTAAAAGTCCTTTTAATTCTCGGGTTGATGATGTTCTCTCTTATATCAATGAGTGGTGGAAACCCTCAGGGTGATGCATATGGTTTCCAACGTTGGTCCGAAGGAGGTCTTGTGAAATCTTACTTAGTAGAAGGTACAACAGGTCAATTCTTTGGGTGGTGGAATGTCTTGATTTACGCAGCATTCGCATGTGGAGGTCCTGACCTCTTGGCCCTTTGTGCTTCTGAAATGAAGAATCCTAGAAAATCAGTCGGTATCGCTGCCAAGAGATCATATATCCGTATCTACTTGTTCTATTTTGGTGGTATTTTCTTCCTTAATTCAATTTGTGCTTCAAATGACCCTGTCTTAGTTGCAGCCATGGAATCTGGTGCTGTAGGTGCTAATGCTTCTCCTTGGGTCATTGGAATTAAGAATGTCGGAGTTCATGGTTTGGATTCCTTAGTAAATGCCTTGATTTTAACTTCGGTATGGTCTTGCGGGAACGGTTTCTTCTATGGTGCTACCAGATGTTGGTATAGTGCTGCCTTAGCTGGATACTTACCTAGATTCTTTTCAAAGTGCTTGCCAAACGGTTCTCCCATCTATTGTGTCTTTGGGACAGTTTTGATCTCATTATTGGCATATATGACTTTGAATCAGGGTGCTGCAGTTGTTTTCAATTGGTTTATTAATTTGGCTACGACTGGTATGTTATGCACATACCTTTGTCTTTGGGCATGCTATTTCAAATTCAAACAAGTTTATCCGAAACAGACAGGTATACCTTTCAAAAAGCCTGAATATCAATACTATTTAGCTGCAAGATTTATTCACCCTTACTTTACTTACTTTGGTTGCTTCTTGAATATCTGTGTGTTGTTTTTCAATGGTTTCTGGATCTTTTTCCCAGGGAATTTCTCAATTGCCAACTTATTTACATCATACTTCGCTCCTACCTTCTTCATTTGCTTGTTTGTTTTCTGGAAATTCTTTAAGAAGACTCACTTAAGAACTGTTGAAGAGGCTGACATAACCACAGGGAAACAGGAAATTGATTACGAAGAAGAATTAGAAAGAGAAGAAGAAGCCAATCGTACTCCACCTACGGGAATTGCCAAAATTGGTCATAAGATTTCTAATTTCTGTTTTAATTAGGAAGAATTTTATTTATTTAGTTTGTTTTATTTAAGTTTTTTAATGTAGTGTTTACATGTTTGGGATCTTTCAACTTCGGAACTTCTTGTTTGCAAACTTGTAGTTCCTTGAAACCCATCCATAATTTAATACCAGATTAGAAGTATAGAAATCTCCTGGAGGAGTCACCTTCTTTCGGTATTTTTCAAGCTCTGAGAAAATGGGGGCACCGGATAATACAACCAAACTGTTGAAACGATTAAAATTGCTTTGAATTTTCAATCGTGTTTAATACAATCGTTCTCAAACATCGAAATGATTAGCAATCAAAGAAGCATTGCCATTCCTAGGGGTATCAAAGGCGGGGAAAGGACTCCTTGCTAATTGAATTCCAGAACGTTCGCTTCCCTATAGAGAAGCTGTAAACTGTGCCAGTTTGTCTTATATAGAATCCCAAATACGAGGAGTGCTTAGTTGGGGTGAGTGGGGGAGGGGCTGATTTGGTGCAAGTCCCATCTTTTAGTTATCATCTAATCGCGCCGAAAGCTGCCAAAATTCTATGAGCAAATCTCCGGGATTCTGCCGCATATACGAAGGTTCAGCTAGAAATGGAGTAACAAAGCAACTAGTATCGTTCGTGTCCTTATCTAAAACAATTGTCAGAATACAGTTGATAGGCAGAGGGATGTACCATTTTTACACTCTCTAGAAATGAATGGAGTCTATTTAATGCTGTGGAACCAAGTTTGAGTACTCTTCTCACTAGTGATACCTTTACCTGTAGAAGCATTTTCAAACGGGCTCATTAGCCAACTCCTAGTAATCGTTTTGAGGGGTGGGGGCCTAGGGTAGATTTGCGCATGTGTGTTTCTCGGCGACAAGATTCTCAAGCACAACAATAAGCGAGGAAACTTTTTCGTTGTTAGTGAACTATGTTTCCCCACTAGGCTATTCTGTATCTTTTCAAATGAGTACATGGGCTTAGCTTAGTATGGGGGAAAGTCGGAACCCTGTTTCGGTTATTCTTATGGGTTTAAGTTGTGTTAAGTATTAGAAAAATCCTTCTTATCTAATCTTGTTGACCAAATGGAGAGGAAAATAGGAAACTTAAGGAGTTACTCTCAAATGTATACATGGAACTGCCTCTTGGCCCTCATGTTAAAGAGGGTTCGGCAGATCGGTTAAACATTGACTAGCTAAGATAATTAGAGCTATTTTGATTTATTGGAAAGTTCGTAATTCTTCGAAAAAGGATGAAATATGAGATATTTTTTATCTCATGTCAATATTCAAAATAGGCGACCACGCATGAAATTTCAAATTTTAAGAGCTTGAACATGAAAGAAGACAATCATTAAAATTGCCTTTAAAAAACGCCTTTCAAATTCATGCAAGATGACTCGTAATATATTTAGATTGCAAGTAGTGCGAAACAAACGTCTGACAGTGACTCTCTTGTGTAAAACCTAAGATTGGTAGTGTTACACGGGATACTACAAAGGCACAAGAAATCTTCATGAAGCCAGTAGAGTATGAAAGACAGTCAGTTTTTCTTTCAGTTTTATAATTCCGGAGTTGTGGAAAGTACAGAAAGCATCTTTATCGTTTGTTTATTAATTCGATTTCAGCTTACCCTTTTGTGAAAACTTCCCCGTAACTAAAACCCTTACAAATTTAACGAAGAGGCTTTCTTCAAAATTTTGCAAGTGTTGTCCGCTTATATGCAGTGCTTTGCTCGGCTCTAGTTACGCAACTATATTATTTTTTACCACTGATTATTTTTCTGTGCGATTTTTTTCGGTTCTTTTTTTGCAACCAAATGACTTATCTACCTTTTTGATATCTCCACCTTTCTCTCTCTTGTCCTTCAAAAGGAATGACATATAAAAACCCAAAATTTCCCCAGTTTTACACCTTTTTTGTATTTTTCTTGTTATTCTCTATATTGCCAATCAATGAGTAACAATTTAGAGGAGAAAAATTCCGACAGTTCTCCTGTCAAAGAGATCCATATTCACGATTTACATTCAGTCATCTCACGTCACACAGTTGACTATGACTTATACGTTGCTAAATCCAACCCTACTGGTATACAAAATGCAGAAGGACATCAATTAAGACAAGCTTTAGATTCTCGTCATGTTAGTATGATTGCCATTGGTGGTGCATTGGGTACTGGTTTATTAATTGGTACTGGTTCTGCTTTAAAAACCGCAGGGGCTGGTGCTATTTTAGTTGCATACTCCCTTATTGGGTTTGTTGTCTTTATGGTCATGAGTGGGTTAGGTGAAGTTGCAACTTTCGTTCCTTTGAATGGTTTCGCTAATTACTGTCAAAGATATGTCGACGATGCTTTGGGGTTTGCTTGTGGTTATGTCTATTTATTCAAATATTTGATTTTACCTGCTAATCAATTAGTAGCCGGTTCCTTAACAGTCCAATATTGGGTGAGTGCAGAAAAGATGAATCCTGGTATTTGGATTACTATTTTCCTTGTTATTATTTTGGCAATTAACCTATTGGGTGTGAGATTTTTCGGAGAAATTGAGTTCTGGTTATCTACATTGAAAGTATTAACATGTCTCGGAGTTATCTTTATCCTTTGGGTTATTGCCTTGGGTGGTGCTCCAACCGGTGATAGAATTGGGTTCAGATACTGGAAGAACCCAGGTGCATTCCTTGAATATAAAGATGCTTCAAAAGGTCTAGTAATAGAAGGCTCCAAAGGTAAGCTTGTTTCTTTTGTTTCAGTTCTTGTCACTGCTGTGTTTGCTTTCTTAGGTACAGAATTAGTTGGTATTACTTTCTCCGAAACTAGAAACCCCCGTCGTTCCATTCCTAAGGCTATCAAGTTGACTTTCTACCGTATTGTCATTTTCTACATCCTTGCTATCTTCTGGCTTGGAATGTGTGTATCTCCAAAGGACCCGCTCCTTCTTTCCGCATCTGGTAATACTGCATCAGCATCCCCCTTTGTTATTGCTATCAAAAATGCTAAAATAGAAGCTTTAGATCATATCCTTAATGGATGTATCCTTTTATTCGTTCTCCTGGCAGCTAATTCTGACATGTATGTTTGTTCAAGAACTGTCTATTCACTTTCGGTTGCTGGGTATGCACCAAAGTTCTTCACAAAGACAAATTCACTTGGTGTTCCATACTATGGAATTGCACTTAGTTTTTCTTTTACATTATTGGCTTATATGACAGTCTCTTCGAGTGCTGCCCAAGTGTTTGTGTATTTTGTTAATGTGGTTTCCTTAACAGGATTAATTGCTTGGTCATGTGTTCTCACTATCCACATTCGATTCATGAAAGCTTTGAAAGCTCAAGGGTTTGACAGGAAAACTGCATTGGCTTACAGATCGCCTTTCCAACCTTGGGGTTCATATTTTGCCTTGCTGGTTTGCATCATAGTCATCTTTATTAAGAACTTCACTGTTTTCTTGGGTGATAGTTTCGCTTATAAGAGTTTCATCACTGGCTACATTGTTCTTCCAATATTCGTGGTAATGTACTTTGGATACAAGATTATCTACAAGACTAAGATTATTAAACCAAAAGACGTTGATTTGGATACTTTCAGGGATGTTATTGATGCTGAGTTTGAACAATATGAGGCTGAAGATGAGGAAAGAAGGGCCCGTAGAGAAGCTGAAGGTATTAAATATGACAAGGAATGGTTTTATGATAAATTCCTTGGATGGATTTTCTAGGTCTACACGAGAGATATCTAGATTTATATATCTATATTGTGTACTTCTGTGTTAATCAATTTTGCCTTTGTTCTGGAGGAGTTGGCACTTGTAATTAAATTTCTCTACTTCTTGAGTAGGTTGTCATTGTCTCTGCCAGAGTTTTTTCACCAATAGATTTTTCGAAATGGATGTCAATCTGTGGCTTGCTGCTGGGTTTTAGATTTTATATCTAGGTACTTTTATAAAAAAGAAACACCCGAGCAAACAGACGTACTCAGATTGTTTAGTTAAATTTCGAGATTTTCAAAAAAAGTGATCGTGGTTTATCGCTAATCATGAAACGTTTTGACAAAATTTTGACAATAACAAGAGTGAACGATCCATTCATGTAATCTGGCAGAAGTATAGATAAAAAAAATATTGGAAGAACAACAGTCTAGAACCACATATGGTGGATTGAATTGAAACAGCGGCTCGTCACGGGATCTCTGAGAATATTGATCTGTGGTTCAATAAAAAGAGTGCAGTTTGTAAGTGGGTCAAGAATATGACTTCAGACATACATACGTTTCGAGTCGTCGGGAAGTTTATGGAAAGCCATTACTATTAGATAGCATTACTATCTTTTAGTGAAGCATTTGTGTCTCAAGGATTTAGAAAGGTTATATTCTTTAGCGCACAAGAAACACTGTTGAGGAATTAAGCGATATTCGAGCCTACAAAAATCATGTTTAGGAAGGGAATTGTTCTTTAAGTAATTACCAACAAGAATCCAACAAGTAATATGGTTCCAAAAGGGAGGGGGGACTCAGCACTCCACTCTTCTCATTTCGTCCTGGGTTTCATAGGAGATGAAAATAAGGCAAGGGATACCCTTAAAAATAAGGTAGAATGGGCGGGGGGGTGACAGAATCTCCGCCTCTAGGTCCCTGCTAGAACTCTAGGTCCCTGCCAGAACTCTAAAATTACAAAAACCTCCGGGAAACCAAAGTATATATCAAGTTTTAGTGGGGGAGAGTCCATAATTATATCACCAAGGAATGACTAGTGAGAAATTCTAATGGGGTGGTCTAATAAAGTTACTCTTCCCAATTGTTTTGGAATAAAATAGACTTTACGGTTCACGGGCGAAAAGTGTTTGAATGCTTCCTTTCATGCGTAGGGTTTTTCTAATTTTCCCCATGTCTGATTGAACGCCATTTTGATAATTGTAAGTTAGTTTATGTAAAGAACCCTCACACCGACCCACACTGGGAGCCCTCTCCCCAATGTACACGGGGAAGGAGCAGGGACTATCGTACTGAGGGTTTCTCCCTGTACTGCTTATCTAGGGACTGTTTGGTGGTAGTCTGCAAAATTTCATTATAGGTACATAAGAGCATTTGCCAATTATGGAAGAGCTTTGGATAGGAAATAAAACGCTGACTAAACTCTAAAATTGCAAACTTTAAAAAAAAGCCTTTCAACTTTCTGCAAGATATGAGAATGTTAATTAAATCTAGATAGCACCTACTAAAATATGGTTGTTAACTACACTACTTGTACATAGACGCAGGAGAAAATGCCTTTCAACTTTCTGCAAGATAAATAATAATGTTAATTATATAGAGATGGCACCTAATAAAATGTGGTTGTTAACTGCCCTAGTTGCAACATAGACGAAACCTTGACAATTAATTGGAAAACCAGAAAGAAAATCAGGTTTGTTATCTGCGATTTTAATTCCGGGATTCTTCTGGCCATCTAAGCAAAAGAAAGGCTTTGCTCTCTTATTGATTAATTTCATTTCAGCTTAGTTATTTGGGAAAGCTACCTCATGTTAAAAGCTTTGAGAATCTCGCTGCAAGGGCTTGAAGTTTTGCAATTATTCATGTTATATGCAGTTCTATTGTACGCCTCTTTGTAAGCGAATTTAAAAAACTATTATTTTAAGGTCAAAATATTTTTTACTTCTATTTTTCTTAGTTCTTTTTTTTTGCAACCAAATCAGCTAACTTTGCCAACTTTAATATCTCCCCTCTCTTACAATTTTGAATAGCATGCACACTTTTATGCTATCCAACAAGTCCAGTTGTTTCTAATTAGTTTTCTCTAATTAATTATATAGTTTTCCTAATAGATATAGAAAACCATTTCGTTGTTCAAAAGAACGATATAAATAGACTTAAAACTTCCCCAGTTTGCGATTCTATCACACTTCTTTTCTTTCTTTTCTCTTCACATCCAAACAATGAGTAACGACTTAGAAGAAAAGGGCCCCGACAGTCCTCCGAACAAAGCTTCTCATGGACAAGATTTAATTTCAGTCGTGTCACGTCACACAGTTGATTACGACTTATATGTTGCTAAATCCAACCCCGTTGGTATCCAAAATAAAGAGGGGCATCAGTTAAGACAAGCTTTAGATTCTCGTCATGTTAGTATGATTGCCATTGGTGGTGCATTGGGTACTGGTTTATTAATTGGTACTGGTTCTGCTTTAAAAACTTCAGGGGCTGGTGGTATTTTAGTTGCATACTCCCTTATTGGGTTTGTTGTGTTTATGGTCATGAGTGGATTAGGGGAAGTTGCTACTTTTATTCCTTTGAATGGTTTTGCCAATTACTGTCAAAGATACGTAGATGATGCTTTGGGCTTTGCTTGTGGTTATGTCTATTTATTCAAATACTTAATTTTACCTGCTAATCAATTAGTAGCCGGTTCCTTAACAGTTCAATATTGGGTGAGTGCAGAAAAAATGAACCCTGGAATTTGGATTACAATTTTCCTAGTTGTTATTTTGGCAATTAACCTATTGGGTGTTCGATTTTTCGGTGAAATTGAGTTCTGGTTATCTACATTGAAAGTGTTAACCTGTCTTGGTGTTATTTTAATCCTTTGGATTATCGCTTTGGGAGGTGGGCCAACTGGAGATAGAATTGGGTTCAGGTATTGGAAAAACCCTGGGGCATTTATTGAGTACAAAGATTCATCCAAGGATCTTGTAATAGAAGGCTCCAAAGGTCGATTTGTTGCTTTTGTTTCCGTCCTTGTTACTGCTGTCTTTGCTTACTTAGGTACAGAATTAGTTGGTATTACCTTTGCCGAAGCCAGAAACCCTCGTCGTTCCATTCCAAAGGCCATTAAATTGACTTTCTACCGTATTGTTATTTTCTACATCCTTGCTATCTTCTGGTTGGGAATGTGTGTTTCCCCGGATGATCCACTTCTTCTTACTGCAACAGGTAATACTGCTTCCGCCTCCCCATTCGTCATTGCTATCAGAAATGCAAATATAGATGCTTTAGATCATATTCTTAATGGATGTATCCTTTTATTCGTTCTCCTGGCTGCTAATTCCGATATGTATGTTTGTTCAAGGACTGTTTATTCTCTTTCAGTTGCTGGATATGCACCAAAGTTCTTCACCAAGACCAACTCACTCGGTGTTCCATACTACGGTATTGCCCTTAGTTTTGCTTTCACTTTATTAGCTTACATGACTGTCTCGTCTACAGCTGCTGAAGTCTTCACTTACTTGGTCAATGTCGTTTCCTTAACAGGTTTGATAGCTTGGTCATGCGTGCTTACCATTCATATACGTTTTATGAAAGCATTGAAGGCTCAGGGTTATGACAGAAAGACCACCTTGGTTTACAGATCTCCTTTCCAACCTTGGGGTTCTTACCTTGCATTGCTGATCTGTGTTTTGGTTATTTTCATCAAGAATTTTACCGTCTTCTTAGGTAACTCTTTCACTTACAAGAGTTTCATTACTGGTTACATTGTACTTCCAATTTTCTTGATGATGTATTTCGGATACAAAATCGTTCACAAGACCAAGATCATTAAACCAGAAGAAGTGGATTTGGATACGTACAGAGATGTTATTGATGCTGAGTTTGAACAATTTGAAGCTGAAGCTAAGGAAAGAAAGGCTTCTAGAGAAGCTGAAGGTATTAAGTATGACAAAGAATGGTTTTATGAAAAGTTCCTTGGATGGATTTTCTAGGTAGGGGGGATATCTAGGTTTTATGTAGTTTGCGTACTTATCTTTTATGTTTAATAATAGTAGTATTTGTTGTGAAGAACTTATCACTTGTAAATGATTTCTGTATCCCGAATTCAATTTTGAATTTGAAGAATGTTGGATATGTTTTGCAACCAATTGTTTTTTGAAATGACATTAATCTGTGAAATTTTGTTGGCTTTTGAATTCAAGTAATCATATAGGAACGGAACATCATAGCCAAATGGCAAATTCATATTGACATTTAGGTTGTATGATTTTCAGTGAATGATCCTCTTGTACATATTCCATGCTTTCATGAAATTTTTTCCCGAAATATTGACAAAAAAATGATTGAAAGATCCTATTCCAATTATATGACACCGAAATAAAAATGTAATAACTAGAAGAGAACGGCTCTAGAAATTCACATTATGACTTAATTGGCAATACTTTTCAGTATGTAGAGCATTTCTGGGAGTCCTATGATAGTTCACTAGATTTTGAAATACGAGGGTGAATTTTAAGTCGGTCAAAACACGTGACTTTGGGCGTGAATATTTTTCAAGCCATAAAACGGATGTGAGCCCTTTCAAACAATCAGAAAATTTCTCTCGTCGGATTAATAATGCCGTGATGCACCATGCAATGTTGTATCCAATTTCTGTTTGCTACAGATCTAGAGTTTGAGCTCAAATAGATCCCACACCACTCGAGTCTAGGTGCTGAGCTGGTTGGATCTGTGGGCTAGAGAGACCTGTAGAGTAAGGAAAAACTTATCTCTTCTCTATTAGTTGGTAAACGATGGGTGTGACGAGTAGCAATTCCTAAGGTCGGTCTTAATGGGGCACCTGGTTAGTAAGTTTTTTGACCTGACACACTGCCTTAAGGAAAAAACCGTTCAAGTAAAGTGGCTTGATGGTTTTATAAATATATTAAGGGAACGGGGCCACATATTCATGTGGGGGGAATCGAAGAGAAGAACGGCAATGGTATGAAAATTTCTGACAGTCGGCGAAAAGCCTTAATGCACAAATAACCGGGGAAAACTTCCAAGAAAATATTATTGTAATTTCGGGAAGATGGACGGACGATTAGTCAAGTGTATTGTTTTTCCCCACCGACTACATCTTTTAGTATGGTTCAACTGAAAGAAGCGATTGGATCGGACTTGAATGCTGAAGGAGAAACTCGGAACCCAACGCATGCTTTTGCTGTGGCACTAGAACTGTATTTTGGTTTGGTAACCAAGGCCCTTACTACAACTCCGAAAGCTACTTTTCGGAAATATTTTATCATCAGAGTCAACACTATGTAAGTCATTCGATCGGGGATTCGCATTTGTGTTCGACTAACAACAGATAATCGAAGCTTAACATAATCTATTGGATAAATCCTATCAAAGATTTACCAAAAGACAACCAAAAATAGATCAGATATTTTTTAAGAATTTCTTTTAAAATAACGGCTATGTGCAGAAACACAAACTTTAAGAGTCACCTCTCCACTTCCTTTATTAAGATTTGGGTAACATTCACTCTAACTACAATTCCTTCCCTATACACCTACTAATTTATGTTGCTTATATGAGGTTTTTTGAATCATTGGCTGATGCATTTTTTTGTTCCTCTATTTGTATATCTGTTTATTATATTTCTGTATGTTATTATGTATAAGAACTAGAATAAATGGTATTCTCAGAAAAAAAAAAAAAAAAAGAGTCAGAACATAAAAAATAATTCTCTCGGAGTTTCTTTTGTGTGTTTGTGTAAAATTCGGACAAACAAAATTTTTAGATGGGATGAGGAAAAATGCCTTTCAAATTTATGCCGAACAAACTAAAGGAAGGAGCATACGTCAAATTATCCGTCCAAGATATAATGCAGAATACGAGATAACAATTGGTTTGAGATATTTAATGGCGGAGTCTGATTTCCCTATTTTGGAAGCAGAAAAGATCCATGTACATGTATATGTGTATCTTCTGACGAATGGTGGTGACTCAAATAAAAAAAAGCAGCCACCACTTTCCAGGCTGAATTCACTCTTTTAAGCGAAAAATAAAAAGAAAGCCCTGAGCTTAAATGCTTCGTTTTTTCAGTGCAAAAAGTATAGATTCAATTCCGTTACTGATGACCAATTATCCGGTGACGAACAAGTTATCTTTTTGGAAACGTCTTCTCCATGATTTTATCTCCTGATATCTTATTTTAATAAAATTTCATTTTGAGATTAAGATATTTAAATTTTGTGAAAGATAAACCGTATCTAAACATAAGATACGCATTGCGACAGAGGGGACACTCACGGCGATTTTCATTTAGAAAGTGATTTTTTTACTTTTTATTTTTTATCGAACAATTGATCCTTATGCATCATAGTATAAATTTATGCAGTTTCAGCTGGACGTTTTTCTTGGCTTTTTTTTGCTGTACACAATTATTTTTTTTCTTTCTTTTTATTTGCAACAATTAACTAAACCTTAACTACGGGAAGTTTATCTTTGCTTTTATGTTCCATTTATGTTTAGAAAAAATTGTGTGATATAAATAATTGGATTCCCACATCTCCCCCATTTTTTTTAGATGGAAAGGATACTTTTTTCTTATTATTTTTCTTATCATTCTCTAAATATAAAACAACAATGACTGATAAATTGGATGAAAAGAACTTTGACAGTTCTTCCGCTCCTAAAGAATCTCAAGGACACGACTTGCATTCAGTCATCTCCCGTCACACAGTTGACTATGACTTATACGTTTCCAAATCAAATCCATCTGGTATTCAGAATGTAGAAGGACATCAATTAAGACAAGCTTTAGATTCTCGTCATGTTAGTATGATTGCCATTGGTGGTGCATTGGGTACTGGTTTATTAATTGGTACTGGTTCTGCTTTAAAAACCGCAGGGGCTGGTGCTATTTTAGTTGCATACTCCCTTATTGGGTTTGTTGTCTTTATGGTCATGAGTGGGTTAGGTGAAGTTGCAACTTTCGTTCCTTTGAATGGTTTCGCTAATTACTGTCAAAGATATGTCGACGATGCTTTGGGGTTTGCTTGTGGTTATGTCTATTTATTCAAATATTTGATTTTACCTGCTAATCAATTAGTAGCCGGTTCCTTAACAGTCCAATATTGGGTGAGTGCAGAAAAGATGAATCCTGGTATTTGGATTACTATTTTCCTTGTTATTATTTTGGCGGTCAATTTATTGGGTGTTAGATTTTTCGGTGAAATCGAATTCTGGTTATCGACTTTGAAAGTCTTGACATGTCTTGGTCTTATTCTTGTTCTTTGGATTATTGCTTTAGGTGGTGGCCCATCAGGAGATAGAATCGGATTCAGATACTGGAAAAACCCAGGTGCCTTCCTTGAATATGCTGACGCATCGAAGGGTCTCGTAATTGACGGTTCCAAAGGTCGTTTTGTTGCTTTCGTTTCTGTTCTTGTCACTGCCGTTTTTGCTTTCTTAGGTACAGAATTAGTTGGTATTACTTTCTCCGAAACCAGAAACCCTCGTCGTTCCATTCCAAAGGCCATTAAATTGACTTTCTACCGTATTGTTATTTTCTACATCCTTGCTATCTTCTGGTTGGGAATGTGTGTTTCACCGAAGGATCCACTCCTTCTTTCGGCATCTGGTAATACTGCTTCCGCCTCCCCATTCGTCATTGCCATCAAGAACGCTCACATTAAAGGATTAGATCATGTTATCAATGCTTGTATCCTTATATTCGTCCTCCTGGCTGCCAATTCCGATATGTACGTTTGTTCAAGAACTGTCTACTCCCTTGCTGTTGCTGGCTATGCACCAAAGTTTTTCACCAAGACCAATGCACTTGGTGTCCCATACTATGGTATTGCCCTTTCTTTTGCATTCACCTTGTTAGCCTATATGACTGTTTCTTCTGGCGCTGCTGAAGTCTTTGGTTACTTTGTCAATGTTGTCTCATTAACTGGTTTAATTGCCTGGTCATGTGTTCTTACCATTCACATTCGTTTCATGAAAGCATTGAAGGCTCAAGGGTATGACAGAAACACCGCCTTGGCTTACAGATCTCCATTCCAACCTTGGGGCTCTTATCTTGCTTTGCTGATCTGTATCTTGGTTATCTTCATCAAGAATTTCACCGTCTTCTTAGGTGATAGTTTCGCTTACAAGAGTTTCATCACTGGTTACATTGTTCTTCCAATTTTCTTGATAATGTACTTTGGATACAAGATTGTCTACAAGACTAAGATTATCAAACCAGAAGAAGTTGATTTGGACACTTTCAGAGATGTTATTGATGCTGAGTTTGAACAATATGAAGCTGAAGACGCTGAAAGAAAGGCTGTCAGAGAAGCTGAAGGTATTAAATATGACAAGGAATGGTTCTATGAAAAATTCCTTGGATGGATTTTCTAAGATCTACAGTAGAGATGTCTACATTTTATATATTTAGAATATTTATTTCACGTATTATTTAATCTTATTAATGTAATTATAAAGCAATTATTATGTATTTACAAGTATTATTTTTCTTTCGCTATGGTGTCAGACTTTTTGTACCTGTTGCACTCAAACTGGAGGAATACTGAAATAAATATGTTAACAACCCCCCCAACCCAGATGTCAGAACGTACTTAGTAGAAGAAATTGTTAAATATGTAAGGCAGTGACTTCCATCCTGCATAGTAGACATGATCTTACATTATTTTTCAAACAAAGACAAAGGCATTCAGATTCGGTGACAGATTCACTTCGAGACAATATATGTGCACAGGCTTCGAACCCTGTTTTATTTTTTTTCTTCCTACTAAACGAATTTTACCACCAAACTTGAACCTCAGTTGTTCCCCCACAGTATTAACGAAATGGCTCCAAGCACAAGAAATAGAAGGATCATACCTTTACATCTTAGAAAGAGAACAACTGTCGCGTATGTTTACAATTATATGAACTTCTGCGTATGAGAAAGAAAGCGTATTAACTGGTGTTTATTTTTATAGTTGTGATGAGTGTCGACAACGTAAGATCAAATGCGATGGTGGGTTTCCTTGTTCTAAATGTTTGAGTTTGAATAAAGCCTGTTCTATAAGTAAACGAGATGGCCCAATTAATCCAATGGATTATAAGTATGTATATTTGCTTACTAGAAAATAGACAGCAGAGCTGAGTGTATTAACCAAAGGAAATAGGGAAAGTTATACCAATCTAAAAAAGTACAATTGCAAACTTGAAAGAATCATACAGTCTTTATTTCCAGATGTATCTTTAGAAACTCTTCGAAATAACACAGATGAATTCGAGAAGGAGGTTTGTATAAATAAAACAAAGCTACCGATTGTCGTAGATAATAGCAACAACAACAACATCAAGAACGAAATAGAAGATCAAGCCAATTTACAAGTGGAAAAGCTCAATAATTTCAGCCAAATCTTCGTCTCCACTACGGATCAATCGTTCATTGATTTCATAGCCAGAAAGCCGAACGATACTGTTACATCTAACACCTCATCCACGCCACTCTTAATGAGAACTTCCTTCTCACATAACAACAAGGAATATATCAGACGAACCCTTCTTACGCTCATCAAAGACGGTCTAGAAACCCTTCCCGAATCAGATGACCAAGTCAGAAAGCTAGTTGATATTTTCCTCCACATCTGCGAAACTAACTATTTCTATGTCCATCATGCTCGTTTCCATGCCCAGATTGAAGAAATGCTAGTTAGGCGTCATAAAAACGATCTTGAATATTTCGTCAAACACTGGTCAACTTTGGTTTTGCTATTAGCTATGATTGCCATTTCCGCCGGGTTTGAATACATGACTGACGATGGAATTAAGAGCATAAAAGAATTAGATGAATGGCTGTTAGATACAAGCCCGGGTTTGAAGTATTATTATGCTGCGTTACAGTTCGCCGGGTTTTTGATTGATCAAAAATCAATTGAGAGTATACAGGGATTATTGCTTTTCGGTGTATTTATGACCACTAACAGGCTAGAAACATTCCAGATGTTCGATGGTGGGTACATATTCATGAACCTTGCTACTGAAATTGCAATCGCGAATAAATTACATTTAAAACAACCATTCATGGAATGTAGCGAAGAAGATCGAGAAGTATACAAGCGACTCTGGTGGTCTTGTTATACCATGGAAAGACGGTTCGGAGTTAATTTGGGGAAGAGGGAGATTATAGATCCTGGGGATATAACCGTTGACATGCCAGTGGATATTCCTGCATTAAAGAATCGCTTTGGCTATTCAAATTGTATGAGCCAGCATTCTATGATTCAGTTGAATTTTATCTTTAGAGATATTGCAGAATTATTTTATACCAAAACGAGAAAGAATAAACTTGCAAGTGTATCCATTGATCCAGCTGCAATAAAGAAATTAGTAGAAGAAGTTGAAAAATGCAAGATGAACTTCCCAGAGTATACCGAAATTGAAAACCTCGACCCCAAATCAGCACAATTTCGTGCACATGTTCATCTTAATCTTACATACTACTTGGCCAAAATCTACATTGGCAAACCATTTCTCCTATACAAAGTTGAAAACTACAAACGTTTGGCCGAAAATGGTGGGGATTATGAATCGGCATTTGTCGACCATCTTTCCTCTATCTGCATTGATGCTGCCTTCTGTTCCATCGAACTCCTATCTGAACTAGACAAGCATAACAAATTAGGGCTATTCTCATGTACAGATATTAATTTCTGTAATATCGCCCTATTTACCATTCTTGTCTTTCTCAGAATTGACGGCCGGTCTGAAACAACCCTATTGTTCCTTCGTAAGGGATTGAAAATCCTTAAGACAATGTCAAGAGGGTGTTCGAGTGCAAAGCTGTCGCTAAATAAATTGAAGAAGTTAGATAATTTAGTTTCCGATATTACTGAGCTTGATGAGATGGAAAAGGATATAAATATTTACAATGTATTTGGGATCGAGACTGCCGCAAAATCATTCCCAACAGATACAAATAATGAAGGGTCCTTATTGGAATTTGGAAAAGAACGCAAAGCCGAGAGTGGATCTCAGCTGGGGACGTATATGACCTTGGAACAAGACTTATTGGATGGAATACTGGACTTTTGGAGTGCTGTTGTGGATGGTGATATTTATGAACAATTGAATTTGCTGGATTTGATAAATTCATAAGCAGTTGATGTTCCAAACAGGTTGGTTTTGTGTGACAAAGTTTATAAGGAGGTTTAATCGGGGAGAGATATACCCAATTTGTATATAATCTCACACGAATGATTTCATTGGACAGTGTCTTATCACTTTCAATATTAACACGCCATATCGGTATTCCTATTTTTTTACACATAAATATTTTTCCGAGGTTTATCGAACGAGTTTTTCCGATGGCTAAAAAATTTAGAATTTGAAATTTGCAAGAAAAATTAAATGCGAGGAACGTTTTTGACGCATCGCATCCTCCTGTGTACCATATTAGAAGCTTAACTAAATTTCACAAAATCGTGCTAGTCAAACCCACTTACATATATACACATTTACAGGAACATGTCAGACACAGAAGTACCGAGTGAACAGTCGACCTTAGTAGAATCAGAAGATGAGCATCATGAGAAGATTATCAATGTGGAGGAGATTTTCATATCGCCCCTTTTTGTGATACATGAAACCAAGTATGGAGGAAGAGGATGTTTTGCAAGTGGCCACATCCCCAAAGGTACCGTTGTGCATAGATGTGATTCTCCTTTGAGTTCAACTATCTCAAAACCATTTAAGAAAGAGGTTTGTCAAGAGTGTTTTAGGTATTTTGACGGGAAAACCCTTAAAGTTAAGCTCACAAAGAAATTTGGAAAGGATGCATGTTCTTTATTTTTTTGTACTGAAGAGTGTAAGGATCTGTTTATGGACCAAGATGTGAATGGTGTCTACTTGGAAAATCTATTGCAACTCGAGAAGTGTTATCTTATGGGTTTAAGTACACCCGAAATTGGCCCACGTGAGCCAGATCCAAGTCAACCATTGGAAGTAGTAGCTGCACAAGAATGGAAGAATGTTGCAATTTGGGAACAGAAGTTAGGTACTATGAAACAATCTAAAAGAGCTAATATGATACCGAGATTAGATGAAGCTGAATATTTAGAGATTAAATACGTGATTGGGGTTTTGTTTCAAATGTACAAGCAGGATGTTACGTCCACTTCTCTGAAGAGCACCATTATCGATAGTTTGGATACTGTAAATACAAATACCGAGTTGAGTCTTTTCAATCTCCTTCAATCTGTCGAAATGGAAAAAGTCAAGAAATATCCATATTTATTATATTCATATATCAACATATATAAATTTCTCAAGTTAACATGTTCAAGTCATCTTCAAAAATTCATCAATCCAGATCATGTTAGAGCAATAATAGGAAAGAATTTATCAAACGCGTTTGGAATCTGGTCAGAAACCTCTAATCCAACGGAAGACAAGGAATTTTTTGGATTTGGTGTATATCCGTCGGCATCATTTTTCAATCATTCATGTGCACCCAATATTGTGAAAACTATGGACACTAACAAACTTCTGTTTAGAACTTTAAGAGATATATTGCCAGGAGAAGAATTATGTATCAATTACGGAAATTATTTGGATGAATCGGTAGAGACAAGAAGAAAGGAATTAAGTGAATGGTTTTTTGATTGTGCTTGCAACAAATGTGAAGCTGACTTAGAGGCAAAGTAAAGTGTATAATTAATAGTACAAATTGTATTTATTCTAAGATGTAATGTCAAATTCATGAAAGAACTTTTTAAACTCCTCACAATCGGAAATTTCTTTCAACTTAGGTTGTTGACATTTATCCCAATAAACTCTCTTTGGTAAGTTCAACGTATGCGCCAATACTCTTCTTGGAAACTGCATGTCTATGGGCTTGTCGCTATCCGCCAATTCGGAAATATAAATCGATTTCTCCTCATCATTGGGTGTACCCACGGTAAACATGACATAATCCGATTTGTTCATAATAGATAGCAATTCTGGGTCATCTTGTTTGTTAAAATGCTTGAATTCCAATTTATGATTCTTGACGAATTTCTCATTGTTTAGCCTGGCTCTCATTTTCAAAGAATTGACAAATTTATCAACCACGGTGACACCAATTGGCAAAAATTGGACATGATAGTGGACATTAGTTGACCTACTGACTTCAAAGAAAATTAATCTATCCTGCGGCCTCTGTTTGGCAAATGCCTGGACTAGGTTATTTTGATACTTTAAGATTTCTTGATAGACTGGGGACTGGTATACATCTTCATATTTCGATCGTATACTAGGAATATGCTCTATTGGAACAAGTATACCATGTCCAGAAAATGGTAATTCTTGGGTTGATCTAGTTAATGGACCTTTGGCGATTGTCATGTATAAATAAGTTCCAATTGAAACAATCATATGCGTTTCTGTTTTGGGATTCGATAAACAGAAGAAACACGATTCAGGAGAGACCACTTTTGGTTTCTTTATAGTCACAGTTTCACCTTCCTTATCACCTGCTTCTTCATGTACGTGCTGTCGTTTCCTTGATTCGATTGTGAATGGGTTCGTTCTTAAATTTGGAATTTCATCTTGTATCAAATCTCTATTTATATTCATCGAAAATGCATAAAACCATTTCTCATCACTACCTTCTTGTCCCAAACTTATGAAACGGGTAACTTCTCCTGTATCCCAACTAAACGGTTCCAACTCAAAGAATTTCCCTGACTCAGTTCCAACTGCAAAATGATATCTTGGTTTAATAATCTTTGAAATTTTGTCAATAGTGTCATGTCCAACGAGAGTTAATTGCTCAAGTGCAGCAATGGAATTCGGCCATTCATATGTCACTAGTATATCTACCTTGATGTTTATTTTCTTTACCTCGGCCAATAGAGATTCTTCATCAGCTGTAGCTGACCCAGATACTAGCATGAGTACAAGTCCGCTAGTCAACTTGACAATGTTTACCAATGACTTAGAGAATGTCAAATTGGGGCTAACATCGACTAAATCCGATTCACTGGAACTTGAATGAATAGTGTTTGACAACCCATGCTTTCCTTCAGCGAAATATGTAGCTCCATCAAGTTTAGTAGTCGGGAATTCAGTGGCAGTTTCAGGTAATACATCACCTAATAAAACAGTTGCTTCAAATGGACCATTTTTGGAGTTTTGGAGATTTGCCTTTTGAAATATCTGATCCAAGTTCTCAGGCGAAGGATTAAGAACTAGAAATTTGTAGTTTCCACTCATTGCTGGTGCTTATTCTTTGTATGATTGTATTTGATGGTTGCTCATCTCGGGATTTTTGTTCAAACTGGGAGAAATCCCGGAAATGATTGGTCATGTGAGCGCAATTGTTAATTCCGGTCTTTGTTTACATTTTTCAGTTTTCGGTGTTTTTTGATTCCATAAGCAACTCTTCTTCTTCTTCTTCAGAGACTTTTTATAGACATATGTCAGAGGAATCCAATAATATCAAAGTCACAGTTCGCGTGAGGCCGCTATTACCGAGGGAGCTAACTAAGAATGACAACATCCCCGAACCATCATGTTTAGTTTCCATGCCAACAAATGATCCAAAAAAGCTAGTTCTAGAAGTACCCAAATCTGCAACACCAGGAGGGAATGGTAGTGGTAGTAACAGTAGGCTGACATCTTCTACTGAAGAGAGGAAGATTTATTACTTTGATGAATGTGTATGGTCATTTGACAAGCAACATCCAAATTTCACAGACAATAAGAAATATTATGACAAAACAGGATCAGAACTTTTAACTCATTTATTCGAAGGTTATAATGTATGTTTATTAGCATATGGACAAACAAGTTCTGGGAAGACCTATACCATGATGGGGAACAAAAGAGAGCCAGGAATAATCCCATTGCTTATGAAGGATATACTAAAACAGATGGAAATTTCTGTTCATCAAAGAATTAATTGTGAACTTAAATTATCATATGTAGAAATCTACAATGAACAGGTAAAAGATTTATTAGGGAATGGAGGAAGTTCAGTGAAATGCAAAGTTAGAGAACATCCTCAAACTGGTCCCTATGTCGAAAATGTCCTTGAGCATCGTATTAGTGATTATAATCATTTTTTGCAATTATTGAGCAAAGGGAACCACGCTAGATCAACAGCTTCAACTTCAATGAATGATACTAGTTCTAGATCCCATGCCATTATAACTCTTACGTTGAAACAAACCAGATTTGAGTCAGTGAATGGGGAACTGGACCTAGGTGATGCAGCAGAAGAAATGATTTCAAATATCAAGTTAGTAGATCTTGCCGGTTCAGAAAGACTTTCAAAGACTAAATTATACGGACAAAAAGATAGAATAAAAGAAGGGACATTGATTAATAAATCATTGACTGTTCTCGGAAGATGTATAAATCTATTGGCAACTAAGAATCCATCTAAACCAAACGTTCTTGTACCGTATCGTGAATCAGCATTGACTTATATATTGAAAGAGAATTTATCAGGAAATTCAAAGACGTGTATGATATTTTGTGTTTCTCCAATTGATTTCGAAGAGACTCATCAGACATTAAACTATGCTAATGAAGTTAAGAAAATAACAACTACAGCCAAGGCGAATAAGACTAGATTGGTTAACGTACCAGTCAATTGGCAAGAATTGCAAAAGACCGATAAGACAATTATTGATTCTTTGAAGAATGAGATTGAAGTTCTTACCTCAAAACTCAATCGTTTGGAATCTTCAGCAAGTGCAAATGTAAAGGTAGATCAAGAAGTATCTAAATTTGATAAAATTATTGAATATCTTGAGAGTGAATCTGCAAAAGTTAAATTTGAGAATAAATATTTGAAACTGTTATTGGTTAAAAAGAATAAGCATATTGAGGAATTGGATAAACATATGACATATATTGAACATCTGTATGATCTGTTATTCACCCAATACAAACAATCTCAAATGTTGAATATAGAAAAAGCTAAAGAGCAACTTCTTGAACAAACCCAATCTAATATTTCCAATATTGAGATTGATTTACTAGAATTTGATCCTGCTAAATTCTTTTAATTTTATATTTCATTAATCCATAGATATAGTTCAAATGTAGTTTTACTATTTTGCAACAGGAAGTTCAATACATATAGAGTCCATGTCAAAATTGATAGTGCCGAGTTCGGAACATGGTTTTTGCATTTTGTGTCAGCATGCGAGTTAACTAATTTAATTGAATTGAAATTTAATTACCGCTTATCCATTTTGACAAGGGTTTAATCTCACTAATGAACAAGTGTTCTTTTTAAAAGGGACACTCTAGCCCTAACTTGTCTTGCGACAATCCAGTGCCACATCACATTGGCTTAGGTCACAACAGTTTTTTCTGTCGTGCGTAAAGGGATTGTGGTCACTAATTTTGTGTTAAATTAATACGATTTCTGGGGGAGTCCGCTCTGTACTATTTCTCACCCTCGCCCTGAATTGAACGAAAAACTGTTTCTAACCCAAACTCTAATTTTTTCCCGTACTATCCTCTCCCCCACCTTACAACCACACTGCCACATTTCTTTTATTCCTCTTTTCCAACAAAGAATATCCCATATCAACAAATCTATAAATACTAAAAGTATTTGATATCGACTTTACTATTGTTCCCCAGAATGTCCCAATCTCTTGTTGATTTATTTAATACTTCCGTTCAAGAGGCAGTACAAGCTACTATTCAACAAAATAAACCCTTATTTGTATTCTTGGCACAGGGAGAAGCAGATGAAGCAGATGGGATCAGCAAAGAATTCCTTCACAAGTTTGTTGATGATGATGACAATATAATAAGCTTATTAGGTCAACAATTTGTATTATTGAAGTTATTAAAAGGTAGCACTGAATATATGTTCTTTAATCAAATATTCAAGGATTTAATTGTACCTAGTTTCTATATTGTTCAACAAGGTAAGGTTCTTGCCATTATAAATGATTCTAATAGTAAGGATCATTTTTTGGAGATTATTACTAGTTTAGCTGCATCCGAGGCTGCCGATAGCACTTCCAGTCAACAACACCTACCACAACCACCACAATCAGCACCACAACAACAACCAGAATCAACTTCAAGAACTGAGTCACCTCTGGCACAACAATCCCACCCAGTGACAAGCAGGGCAGAGGCAAGCTCAATGGAGACTAAACCAACCAGTTCACACGAACGAGACGTGCAGAAGCACAAAGAACAAGTTGCCAGGCTAAGAAAGGAACAACGAGAAGAAAGAAATCGGTTACGAGCATTGTTGGACGCTGACAGGAAAGAGCTTCTTCTTAGAAGTCAAGAACAACAACGATTACTTCACAGCAACGATGACTCAGAACAAGAACAACTACTTCCAAAGACAAAACAAGTCTCTGAAGAAGGTATATGTGTATTATCCATCAAACTCTTTGATGGAAGTTCAATAAAACAAGAATTCAACGCCACGGATAAATTGTCAGACGTGAGAACTTGGTTAGATGAAGAAATCCAAATCATTCCTTCCGATTCAAGCATGCCATCCTTTGCCAGAAATTCCCATCATCCTTCAAATTATGCATTTCATAGACCTATGCTTCCAAGAATCACATTTACAAAAGAACAGGAATTAAGTTCATTAGAAGAACTTGAATTGACACCGAGATCAGCCTTGATTTTAAAACCTATCTATTACGAATCTGATGACGATGGAGCATCAGAAGCTGGAGTCGAAAAGCCAGGTATTTTCGGTCGAGTCTTTGGAGCAGTGGGAAAACTTGGTGGAATCCTATATTCATTCTTTGATTATGGAGTTGATAGCACTGAGTATCATCCACTTAACAATCCAGCATCGGATGCTTCCAGCCGCGTTGAGAATGACGATGAGCCAATTAATCTCCCCATTGCAGATACTCGACCACTTTTGTCATTGGATAATAGGTCCTCATCTTTACTTAATATAGAACATCCGGTTCCTAATGAGTTTTCGAGATCAGATTCCCCATTAATTGCCGATCCTAACATTTCATCAGCATTCAATAGCCGTTCATCTACTCCTAGACCTAGTTCTAGAATGAGAATTCAAACTTTACACGATGCTGATGGGATTGATACGTATAATGGAAACAGTGTGAATTTAAATGAAAGACCAGACAAAGATGAGAAGTAGCTGTTAGTCTTATGTTTCTATAATTAGTGTGTATATCGTATTTTGTAGTTTAATCTTGAAAATAGGTATTTTCTTACAATATTTCAAAATTGCGCTTTTTTCGATTTTGTCGCTCTGCTGCAGCCAAATTATCAAATTCCATTCTCACTTCACGCACAAAGGGTCCACCAGAAGATTAATCACCAAGTGAAAGCTACAGTACCTCCCTTGTCAAACACCTTGTGTCATGCAAATGGAGAGGATAAATATATCACATTTGGAAAATCTATTGAGATTTCCAGGTGCAACCCAAACAACTCCAATTCAAGATGCATCAATTCTAACATGTGGATGTTTAGTTTCTGAATCAAGTTTTCTTTTAAATGATGGGAATGTTTGTCCAAATTGTAAAAGTGCCGACGTTAGTTTATTATCCGAAATTAAGCCCCTCAGAGAGCTTTATAGACTTATAGACCAATTAAATTCACAAGCATCTGCAGCATCCCATGTTCTGATAAGTGCTGCTTCAGCTAGACGTCGTCGATCATCCGGAAAACGCGGGAGTGTTAATGAAGAAGGAGGAGATGGCTTACAACAACAACAGCAGCAACAACAACAACTGTCAGAGTCTATGGATTTGCTTAGTTTGTTTTACAAATTTGCTAAAGAGGAAGAATATTCTGGAGAAATAACGGCTAGGGGCAAATCAGTATCAAAAGAATCTAAAGTTCAACCAATTGATATTACAGCAACCAGTACTGCATTGGATCGTCAACCAACGAATTTCACAACCACTCTGTTTCAATCTACAGTATCGATCTCACCGGGAGCTCAAAAGGATATGATTCATGTTGAAGCTAGATCCATTGATCCTTCTTCAGTATATATTCCACCTGATTATTTAAGTTTTGAAAAGAATTTATTACAAAGTATAAGTGAACAAAAAGAATATAATTTCACTAAATGTTTCCCATTTCATAGAAAATTGAGTTCATTCCCAACTCAACAACTTAAATTCAATTTCCCATTTAAACTGGGATCAATTAAGAAAGCTATAAGTACTTATATTCATTCATATCTTGATTTCAGTACGGGAAAGGAAATAACTCGATTTGTATTGATTAATTCTAAAAGATGGGAAGTTTATGAATATATTGTTCCTCTTAGTGGACCGACAAAGGTGTCGGCTAAACCACAATTGATATGTTGTGGGAAACTGAGTGGAGAATTTAGTGAATCATTGAATAATTTAAATGAACCAGTTGTTATCCATCCTAAAGAAATTATAATTAGAAATGATTTTAATTCAAAAACAGAATATCAAAATCCAAATAGCAGTCCAGAAGAGATCAAAAAGAGATTACAACATTGGGATCAAATTTATTGTCATTTGACTAAAAATTACTTAGTCATTTCTGGGACAAGAGGTATAATGAGAGTATATAATTTGAATCGTTCATCATCTTATAAAATGGGTCAATCTATATATACATATTTAACCAATTTCCCAATCAGATGTATTTCAGTTTCACCAAATGAAGCATTGATTGCTTGTGGTATAACTGCCAAGGAAAGAGTTACAGCAAAGGAACAACCATTTGTGATATTACATAGAATAATTCTGACTGGAGTTAATTCATATCTTGACGCAGTCAATCCTATGACAATTACAATTCCATATCGAGACCCAATTAAAATATTGAATTTCAATGCTTCTTCATCTCATTTAATTTGTGGAACCCTGTGGGAATCAAGATATTTGGTGATTAAATTAAAGAGTAATAATGATAAAGAAGACAATTATAGAAAACCAAGATTAATTTGGTCTGATTTTGTTTATAAAACCGCTAGGAGAACAAGAAATGATGATGAGAATGGGGAAATTGTTGGTGATGATAAGACTGAAGCTGATAGTGATTTAATGATGTCTACTGAAGGTATGACAGATGTTAAATTTGGAAATATGTTTTCAAATACAATTGTAATTACATCATGTTCATTAAAAAGTAGACCTCCTATAATTATTAGATTGGATGGAGCTATGATTGATTCCAAAAGAGCGGTTGCTAATATTGATAATTATAGTTTTCAAAATAGTGTTAATAGTTTGGAAGAAGAAGAATATTCTTCAATAATTTCAGCAGAGACAATTATGAGAATTCCTGAAGTAGGTTCATTAGTTCATAAAGCAACTATTTCCCCCACTGGTGATGGAATTGTATTTTTAGCTAAAGATGGTAGTCTATATCTTCTTTCAGGATCAAATTTCAAGACCAAATTATCAACTACTTCAACAGCCAAGAAGATTGTTGTCTTATTAGGAGAAGTTGCTAATGCTGAAAGATTTAGTGAAGCCGCATCAGTATTATTTTCACCTGACGGTGGGAAAGTTTTCACTGTTGATAGAAAGGGAGTATTTTCAATATTTGATTTTACAAAAGGTGTTCCAGGAGAAGATCCTGAAGTTATTAAATGTAAGATTATTAGTATATAATAATCATCTACTTTACCCGTTGATAGCCGTCCCCATAAGTGGGTTGTTTTCCTGCATGTGAGATTACACAATATACATACAGAAGAAAAAGAATGCGATGCCACAATTCTTAAAATGCCTTAACTAAAAAAATGCTTAAACGAACAAAGAGAAGAATAAGTTAATTACAAGAAGAGAAATTAATTACAAGAAGAGAAAAAAAAAATTAATTTAAAGATCCACGGGGTTTTTCTTTTTCCATTTCTTCATTAATCATATTATAAGTAAATAGACTTCACATTAGCCATGTCTTCAGCTATTCCTACTACTGCTCCACCACCAGTATACAATGACGTCTTAGACCTCATTGGAAACACTCCATTAATCAAATTAAACAAAATCCCACAATCATATGGCATTAAAGCCAAGATGTATGCCAAAGTTGAATTATTCAATGCTGGAGGTTCTATTAAAGATAGAATTGCCAAGAATATGGTTTTAGAAGCAGAAAAGACCGGTAGAATTAAGCCAGGTTATACTTTAATTGAACCAACTTCAGGTAATACCGGTATTGGTTTAGCTCTTGTTGGTGCTGTTAAAGGTTATAGAACTATTATTACTTTACCTGAAAAAATGTCAAATGAAAAAGTTTCAGTATTAAAAGCCCTCGGAGCTGAAATTATTAGAACTCCAACTGAAGCTGCTTGGGATGCTCCGGAATCTCATATTGGTGTTGCTAAGAAATTAGAAAAAGAAATTCCAAATTCAGTTATCTTGGATCAATATTCTAATGAAGCTAATCCATTAGCTCATTATTATGGTACTGGTTATGAAATTTGGGAACAAACTGAAGGGAAAGTCACTCATTTGATTGCTGGTGCTGGTACTGGTGGTACTATTTCTGGTATTTCTAAATATTTAAAAGAAAAGAATCCAAAAGTTCATGTCACTGGTGCTGATCCTGAAGGTTCTATTTTGGCCCAACCTGAAGCCTTAAACCAATCTACTGAAGGTTATTTAGTTGAAGGTATAGGATATGATTTCGTTCCAGATGTTTTGGATAGAAAATATGTTGATCATTGGATTAAGACCAATGATTCTGAATCATTTAAATTAGCAAGAAGAATTATTAGAGATGAAGGTATTTTAGTTGGTGGATCTTCTGGATCTGCATTACAAGCTGCATTAGATGTTGCTAAGGATTTGACTGAAGATGATGTTGTCGTTGTTGTTTTCCCAGATTCTATTAGATCTTACTTATCTAAATTTGCTGATGATGAATGGATGAAATCTAATGGATTCCAAGTTGAAGAAACTCAAGCTACTAATAAGACTGATGAATTCTTGAGTACTAAGACCATTAGAGATTTAGTTGCCGGAAAGGCTCCAGTTGTTACTGTTACCGTCGGTGACACTGTTGCTAAGACTTTTGATTTATTACAAACTAATGGATTTGATCAATTACCAGTTTTGAATAAAGCGGGTAATTTAGTTGGTTTGATTACTCTTTCAAAGATTTTGAAATCATTATCTACTAAAAAGATTCAAATGACAAATTCTATCAGTTCTATTATTATTGATTTCAGAAAATTGGCAGATTTTGAAAAATCATTTACTATTACCAAACAATCTGGTTTCACCAAGAGAAGTTATGAACCAATTACTTTAGATACTCCGTTGACTGTATTGAATAAATTCTTTGAAACCAATTCTAATGCCATTATTACTGATGAAGATTTGAAACCAGTTCAAATTGTTACCAAAGTTGATTTAGTTTCTTACTTGACTAAGAATCTTGTATTTTAGACAATGATTTTGACAATTTAAAAAAGTTCTTTAGAGATTTTTGTATAGGCGATTAATGTATATTAAATAAGAAGTAATACAAGTGGATGATGAAGAGATATTATATTTAAAAATAACTTAATTTCTAAGAGAACTTCCATCTATTACCACAGTTCTCACAAGTACAGAAAGTAGTTAAAGGTTCATCCGCAGATCTTGTTTGCATTTGATAATAACTAACTTTCTTATGTTTACATTTCCCACAAGTAAATCTATCAGTAACTGCTCTCTTTTCAGTAGCGCCTTGAGCATCAAATAAATTTTGTTTATGTAATTTTTCAATTTCTTTCTTTAATGATTCTGGAGCCATTTCATTGGGAGTCATTTTAATAAATGTAGAAGGTAAGATCTTTTTAGTAAGTAATCTTTCTCTTAATTCTGGATTCTTTTTATTCCGAAGATTCATAGTAAAACTTCTAAGTTTATTACGATAAGAATCATTCACATTCAGATATTCACTCTTGAATACTTCTGTTTCTATTTCGGATGCTACGGCTAATATACGTTCCGGAGGGTCATCTCTTTCAACCGCAAGTGATGTATACAATGCACTAACAGATGCATTTCTAGTTGGATTATCATATAGGGAAATATTAACCCCATCTGTTTTTGGATTACGTGGACCTTGATGGAACCTAGAATTTGTTCCAGGAACGGTAGCAGCACCAGTATTAGCAGATGATGCAGGAGTTGAAACTGCACTAGAAGTTGGAGTAGAAGTATTACTTGGACTCTTACCAGCAGCAATAGCTTTCTTTTTGGATGTTTTTTCATGTTGTACAGCATCTCTCCAAGATCTAATCATCTTTTTAACCAAAGAGTTAACTTCTGTATTGTCATGACTTCTAAACTTGTTGACAGCTACCCCTACTTTTGTTTCTCTAAGAAGTTTCTCAGTTGGTTTAACTCCATCATTTAAGATATTTAATAATTTAAGGATTGTTGTTATATCGGTTGACTTTTCGAGATTCGATATGGTGGATTTTATCTCTTTGGTATCCATGATGATGAAGGATGAACTTGTGTATATGGGGGCTAGGGGATACTGGTGGTTTACAGTGTTGACAATTGAATTGTTTTTGGGAAGAGAATTTTCTTCCCCTGGCTAGACCCCGTCGATGGAAAAAAAAAATTATTCCAGTAACCGTGAAGTCATCTTTCTAGTGAGGGAATAGAGGAGAGATCGTGTGAGAGACACCCAAAGAGGAAGACAAAGGATAAAGAGTAACTATGGATAGTAAACAGAGTACAACTGTATCTATTGGGAAATTCCCATTTGATTATAGTGAAGAACAAGTAATGCAAATAGCCAAATCAGTTGGACCGGTACTAGATTTAAAATTATTATTTGATGACTTAACTGGGAAATCAAAAGGATATGCGATAATTAATTATGGAGATCATGAAACAGCATCATCAGCTGTTCGTAATTTGAATTATATGACATTACCAAATGGAAGATTTTTAAAATGTTCATTTATTAATGATATATTTGATAATAACAATGAAAATTCAAAAATTAAATTACCTCCATTACCTTTGGGAATTCAACTTCATCCAAATCAAAATGCATCACAAGTCATTTCAAGTATTTTAACCAATGTTGATAGTAATACTGCTTTACAAATTATGAAAGAAATTAAGACTATGAGTGTTGATAATCCAAAATCAACTAAATTATTACTTGAAAGATTCCCCCAATTAGCATTAGCTTTAGTTGAACTTGGATTGATTTCAAATACTACAAATCAAGATTTAATTGAATTGACATTAAATAAAAGAATACCTCCTTTAAATGAACTTTCAATTGATCATGTTAATTTATTAAGAGTTGTAAATCAATTAACAAATGATCAAATTAAAGAAATGGATGAAAGTCAACAAAATATTCTTTTGAAAATGAAAGAAGAAATTGAAAAGGGAACTTATGGAGAAATTATAGAAAGTAATTAATATGCTATAAACTGATAGAGGGGGGGGCACACAGGGGGTGGTAAGTTTATTTACCACCAAAAACAAAGTGGTGGCGAATTTTGATTTAACTTTTGTTTGGCTGCTAAATAATAGAAAGAACTTAATTCATAAATACTAATCATATAGATAGTTGTCAATAAGCTATCTATAATGTATGTGCGTATTACGAGTTGATATACTGTATGTTGATCCAGAGCCAAGAAACCAAACCGAGTGGTAGCCTCGTTGTAGTGGGTAAAAATGGTACCCGGGAAATGTCGTGTTCAGCCGATGACAGATGTTTAAATTACCGAATTGAAGTTTTTAGATTCAAGAAATATTGCGGGGTTTTCTTCGTTAATCAGTTTATAGTCACTCCTCAAGGCATTCACTTACCTTTGATATTTATATATAAAATCACAATATTTGAGTATATAGACTTTGACGTTTATAGAATTGGAAATGTAAAGAGGTCTGTAGAATTTTTTTTTGCGTCACAAATCAGTTGACGTCATACTTTTTATTGTAGACCAGGTCGTCTCATGTGACGTTTCAAGGGGGGGGGAGGTTGGATTCTGTTTTGACATGAAATTGAATAACCTATGTTCTATTTTTTAATAAAGTCATTACATATTCTTTATAATTTTTGCCGAGTGTTTAAACTAAGTATGAGTAAGTTAAGTCACACAATTTAATAAAACTAAAGGGAATTTTATTGTTACATTTTTATTTTATCTTTATCTTTATCTTCTTTTCTTTCTTTCTCATTCTTACTTTGTTACAAATATTGAAACAATTATTAAAAGTGATTTACAATTTACCTCTTTTGTTAAATAGACTCATTTACTACCATTCAACCAAAGGAAGACTAAATTTGATCTAAAACTTTGACAGTTCTGTTGTTTTATTTAAACTGAAACTTCCAGACACAAAAACTGATAACTCCTCCTCCTTCCACCTCCACACATTTTCTTTTTTTGGATTTAGTAATTGCCGCCCTTTCCTCCAAACCCCCTTTTGGCTTTCCACACAATTGAAATTATAAAACCACAGTGAACCCACCCCCCTTACTATTAAGCATACCCCGTCGATTCCACATACAAGTTATCTACACAAATCCATAAGAAATGAGTACACCTAAAAGACGTATTGAAAAAGATGTCATGGAATTAATGATGAGTGATCATGATGTTACATTGATCAATGATTCCATACAACAATTCTTTGTAATATTCCATGGACCAAATGATACCCCTTATGAAGGAGGTACTTGGAAAGTAAGAGTAGAACTACCTGATCAATATCCAATAAAATCACCTTCAATAGGTTTTACAAATAAAATTTATCATCCAAATATAGATGAAGGTTCGGGATCTGTTTGTTTAGATGTCATTAATCAAACTTGGTCTCCAATGTTTGGATTATTAAATATATTTGAGAATTTCTTACCTCATTTATTACGATATGCAAATCCAAGTGATCCATTAAATACCGAAGCTTCAACTTTAATGACAAAAGATGAGAAAAAGTATAATGAAACTGTCAAGAAATATGTTCAAGAATATGCCAAGCATATTTCAATAGCTAATGGTAAAGATGAAAGTAAAAGTGATGAAGAAGAAGATGATGAGCTTAGTGATGTAGGTAGCTTATCAAGTGATGATGAATCTGATGCATAAGTTACTCATACCACAAGTAGTAGATACTGCGGTATCTTCTACCGTATCCCCAACGTCATTATTATTTGCATTTCCATTATTTTTATAAATTATTAATTTTTATATCCCTTTGGTATTTCATTTGGAGTTAATCATTTTTGGTCATATATTATAATCCTGGTTTTTTTTATTTTTTTATATTGTTATTATCCTTTTCATGTGTTGCTTTTTGAAGGTATACGAGAGCATTAGATGTTCTATTTGGTTTAATTATTACTAGCTAATTAGCTAGCTATTGTATCTTTGCTCTTGTTGTGTGTTGTACGCGGTTATCTCTCATTTGAATTGTGGCTTAATGAACCCATAACAAGAAGAGAGAACCCCCCCAATTCCATTAATTTTAAGAAAAAACTATGTATTTGAAAATAGATAACTTATATATATATATCATGTATAGAAATCTATTGTCATACATATATAAGAATATTTCATAGTAATAGTATCTCTTGCTCTGCTTAATTGCTTTCTCACAACGAAAAGCGGAATTGAAATTCAGCTTTTTTTTTTCAACCCATGTAATCTTTCAATCAAATCATTAGATGGAATCTACAACGATAATCAAAAGCATCGCAATTAATAAACCCCTTTAGAAGGAACTCATATGATAGAAGTAAACTAAAGAAAGAGAAATGGCTACAGCAAAAGTTCCTATAGACAATACAGAGGCAACTCCTCCACCAAAAAAGAAGCAAAGAATTACCAACGATGACTTATATCGAAAGTCAACTCAATTCACACTTTGGTCATACACTCACGACGAACTAGAATCAGCCAAAAGGCGAGCCAATGCCCATGGCCAACGAAAAGCCAAGCAGAATTTCGATCAAGCATACCAACAAGCCAAAAAGGATCATCCTGAAGTATTCACAACAGCTGATCCAGATGATGATCTACTTCATCCTGAAAAACTACAAAGTATATTATCATTTGAAGAAGAATGTACTTATTTGAATTTTTATTCCAAGAATATAATCCAAACTTGTAATTTCTTTAAAATGCCAACACAAGTCAAACTTACAGCAGCTTCATTCTTTAAGAAATTTTATCTTGTAAATTCAGTCATGGAATATCATCCCAAAAATATCCTATATACTTGTGTATTCTTATCCGCAAAATCAGAAAACTATTTCATATCAATAGAATCATTCGTCAAAGCCCTAAAGGGGACGGAAGCTTCTCATATCCTAGATTTAGAGTTTATTGTGCTACAAAGCTTGAAATTCACATTATTGGTTCATCACCCAATGCGTCCACTATATGGATTCTTTCTTGATTTTCAAGCTGAGTTACTCCATCCTAGTCCATTAATGTATGATGTTTCGGTTGATACTTTGGGAAATCTATATAATAAGGCAAAAGAATGGTTGAATGAATATGCAATTATAAGTGATGTTTCTTTCTTGTTTACGCCTCCCCAAATTGCCTTGGCAGCGATGTATGATTGTGATAAGAGAATTACTGATAGATATTTAAAGAGAAAGTTTTTAAAGGATGATAAATTAGACGTCATAAAGGAAGAAACTGCCGAGGAAGAAACTCCTACGCCTGTCGTGAAGAAAGAAGAAGAAAATGGTGATCAAAAAACTGAGAATGGGAACCCTGAAGAAGCGGTTCAAGAGAATGAAGAGACAAAAGTATCAACTCATAGAGAGCAATATGAAACACTCGTAAGGACAATTAGAAAATGTATTAAGATTGCTAAACATATCCAAACGACATCTCGTGAGGAAAGCAAAGAAATTGATAAGAAGTGCTTCTTTGCTTTGAATCCTAAGAAATTGATAGACAAGAGAATTAAGAAGTTGACTGCATCTTCGGCTCCTCCAGAAACAAAAGAGCAAACATAGATTTCGCAATTAATTGCACAATACAGTCTCCAACCTGGGCAAGAAGTGTTTCTTTGCTTTCAATCTAAGCCAAACGTTAATAGAAGAATCAAGAAACTGACTCCTGTGTGTATTCCAGTTGGAAACAAAGGAGCAAATATAATTGAAGCAATAGCTTATAATAGACACTCGTAAACGTTTCTCGCAATTATATAAACTTTGTCCGTATATAGCAAATTTGCGCAAACATGTTTTTTTTTTGCAGCCAGCAATATAAAAGACCCTGGAATTTACGTTTCTGTTCCATTTCATTTTCAGTATTATCAATACTTCAAGTATACCTATCTAAAGCATGCCAAGCTCTACTATAAAATCATCAGCTCAAGTATTACAAACTTTCAAAAACCCAGAATTGATCAAAACTAAAGCTTACGTTAATGGTAAGTGGATTTCCAGTTCTACAGGGGAGAAATTCGACATAAACAATCCAGCATTGCCAGCCGATGAAGGAAAAATAGCTACCGTCGATTCCATGTCCGAACTGGATTATAATCAAGCAATCGAGAAAGCAAATATTGCATTTGAAGAATTCAAGAAAACTTCGGGAAGATCCCGTGCAGACTTGCTTGAAAAATTATATGATTTAGTTATGGAAAACAAGGAAGATTTAGCCAAACTACTAGTATTAGAAAATGGTAAACCGTACGCAAATGCAATCTTTGAGGTTGAATATGCCGCTTCTTTCTTCAAATGGTTTTCAGAAGAAGCTCCCAGGATCTATGGTGATATTATCCCAGCCTCAAATTCTAAAAATAGGATCCTAGTTTTTAAACAACCAGTTGGTGTATGTGGGATCTTAACCCCTTGGAATTTCCCATTAGCTATGATAACTAGAAAATTAGGTGCTGCAATTGCTACTGGATGTACTTCTGTGATAAAACCGGCTTCTGAAACTCCACTATCAGGATTGGCTTTGGGTTATTTATGTGAACAAGCCAAGATTCCTTCTGGTGTGGTTAATATATTACCTTGCTCCGATGCCTCCAAAGCTGGGAAATTAATTACCGAACATCCAGGAGTCAACAAAGTCTCCTTCACTGGATCCACATCGGTTGGAAAGGTCCTTATGAAACAAGCTGCTGGGACATTGAAGAAACTTTCATTTGAATTGGGTGGAAATGCTCCCTTTATAGTTTTTGAAGATGCAGATATTGACGAAGCCGTCGATGGAGCAATCGCATCCAAATTCGAAACAAGTGGTCAAACATGTATTTGTGCCAATAGAATCTTTGTCCATGAAGACATATATGATCAATTCTCATCTAAGTTGGTTGCAAAATTAAAACACACCAAATTAGGTAATGGACTCGTTGACGGTGTGACACATGGTCCATTGATTCATGATAATTCAATGAAGAAAGTCAGAGAGCATATCGAAGATGCAACTTCGAAAGGTGCCAAGATTTTAGTTGGTGGATCAAAACGTCCTGAATTAGGTGAGCATTTCCATGATTTAACCGTGCTTGGGAATGTGAATACCGATATGAAGATAACTCAAGAAGAAACATTTGGACCTGTTGCTCCATTGATTAAATTCACTCTGGAAGACGAAGTTGTCAAATTGGCCAATGATACTAATGTTGGTCTTGGTGGTTATTTCTATTCCAATGATTTAAGAAGAGTGTTTAGAGTAGCGGAAGCAATGAATGTGGGAATGGTGGGTGCTAATTCTAGAGAGATTTCTGAAGCTGAAATCCCGTTTGGTGGAGTTGCGGAATCTGGATTTGGGAGAGAAGGTTCAAAATTCGGTTTGGATGATTATTTGGTGACTAAGAGTTTGGTTATTGGTAATGTCTAGTTTCATTTACCTGTATTGCTTTTGAAATATACGTTTTTACTTTACTGAAAATCGTACGCATCAGTCCGATTCATCATATTTGTGGAATGAGGTCTATTAGTCTCTCTTTATAAGTAGTGTAGTGAGCCACTATTCTGTAAGCTTGTCTTATAAGGAAAAGTGGCCAAAGGCCACCCTTTGCCCTAAATTTACTCTAAACTACCGTGGAATGGTGTTTCTTCACTAGTATGACGGTTTCTTTGCATTGATTCCAGAAGAGAGCTTTAAGAAATTAACCATCTTCACGTTTGAATAATGTAGCAAGTATAGATTGAGACCAGCATTTGCAAGTATGAACGTTTTTCGCAACCATAAAATTGACAAATTTCCCAAATAGGAAAATTTGCGCTAACTCGGAAAAATTTCGAGCGCAATATAAAGTCTCTGAAAATTGATCAAATTTTATTCTTTTCATTTTATCGATTTCAGTATACTTATCTACAACATGTTTAGGAGACTGTATTCGACTGTTACATCATCAGCCCAGGTGTTGCTGACATTCAAAAATCCAGAATTGCTCAAAACGAAAGCTTTTATTAATGGATCTTGGGTTTCCAGTACATCCGGGGAAAAGTTTGATGTGAACAATCCTGCATTACCATTATCTGAAGGAAAAATAGCTACAGTAGAGTCTATGTCGGATCTGGATTACAATCAAGCAATAGACCAAGCAAGAATTTCATTTGACAAATTTAAGAAAACTTCAGGAAGATCCCGTGCTGAATTACTTGAAGAATTATATAACTTGATGATGAAAAACCAAGAGGATTTAGCCAAGCTTGTGGTATTAGAAAATGGTAAACCATACGCTGACGCATTAGGAGAAGTGAAATATGCTGCCTCTTTCTTTAAATGGTTCTCCGAGGAAGCTCCCCGGATTTATGGTGATATAATCCCTTCATCGAATTCTAAAAATAGAATCTTGGCGATGAAGCAACCAATTGGAGTGTGTGGAATCTTAACTCCTTGGAATTTCCCATTAGCTATGATAACTAGAAAATTAGGAGCTGCAATTGCTACCGGTTGCACATCTATAATCAAGCCAGCGTCTGAAACTCCATTATCAGCATTGGCATTGGGTTATTTGTGTGAACAGGCAAACATCCCAGCTGGTGTAGTTAACATATTGCCATCTTCTGACGCAGCAGGGGTTGGGAAATTAATCACCACACACCCAGGAATAAACAAAGTATCATTCACAGGATCCACTGCAGTGGGGAAAATCCTTATGAAACAGGCCGCCGGAACATTGAAGAAACTTTCTTTTGAATTAGGTGGGAATGCACCTTTTATAGTCTTTGAAGATGCTAATATCGACGATGCTGTAGTAGGGGCAATCACCTCTAAATTCAGATCAAGTGGTCAAACATGTGTTTGCGCCAATAGGATCTTTGTCCATGAAGACGTATATGAAGAGTTTTCAACCAAGCTAGTCGCGAAATTGAATGAAACTGTTGAATTAGGAAATGGACTAGTTGATGGTGTGACTCATGGCCCCTTGATTCATGATAAGTCGATGAAGAAGGTCAGGGAACATATTGAAGATGCAACTTTGAAAGGAGCAAATATTTTATTTGGTGGATCCAAGCGCCCAGAATTGGGTCAACACTTTCATGATTTGACCGTGCTCGGTAATGTGAGTACAGATATGTTAATAACTCAAGAAGAAACATTCGGCCCTGTGGCTCCATTAATTAAGTTCAGTCTGGAAGAAGAAGTCATCCAATTGGCTAATCATACCAATGTTGGTCTTGCGGGATATTTCTTTTCTAATGACATTAGAAGAGTATTTAGAGTTGCAGAAGCTTTGAATGTGGGTATGATAGGTGCTAATACTGGTGGTATTTCTGAAGCCGCATTACCGTTTGGTGGAGTTGCTGAATCTGGGTTCGGCAGAGAAGGTTCTAAGTACGGATTGGATGATTATTTGGTAACAAAGAGTGTGGTGATCGGGGATGTTTAATTATATTGTAATATATGCACATGATTCACAGAAACCATTATTCTAACTAGTTTTCTACATACTTGTGACCCTGAAGAGTCACTTGTCTAACGTATAGTGATTCGCCTTAGCTAATCCTTGGAATTATCTACTTCTTTGCTAACCTGCAACAAATCGAAGTTTTTTGTCAAGTTTGTGATATCACCAGTTTGAATTTCCTTATTGCTTTCTTTATTCATTAAAGGACTCATATATTCCTCAATTTGTTTCATTATCCTCAGGTCAGCGTTCTTGGATTCCTCCAAAATCTGGGTTTTCAAATCATTGAAAAGTTTACTAAATTTGCCGACTCTCCGATACATCGTCTTAAAAGTGCTACTAGTTTTAAGGCAATGAAGATGAAGAAGAATATACACAACTTATTCTCTCACTCTGCCATCCATTTCTTCGTCAAGCACTCCTCGATCCTCGATACAGCGTTCAACGGTTTCTAAAACTTCATCAATCACGCCAATCTCAGCGTATATTTTCCCCAATTTTTCAGGATCTTCAATCAATTTGTCTATTTGAAGTTTGTTATTAAAAATAGTACCAATCGAATATGCCAATTCATTTTTCAAGCGTTCGCTAACTTCAAATGGACAGTTTTCTGAAATCTTGTCAACAAAGACCCTTGCCGCATCTGTACCCAACTTACCTGGAGCTCTTAATAACTTGTCATTGTCATTGTCATCTACGTACCTATAGCATTGAAGTTCATACTGTCTTCCATCCAAAGAGAATTGGAGCAAACCCACTTGCTTCTTTTTATTTGGAATGGGAGCTATGGACATGTCCATACCTGACCAGTCGATTGAAGGATGATGCTCTTGCATCCAGTCTTGTAATCTAGCTACCTCTGAATCTTCCATTGTATTCTATTGAACTATAAAAGCACTTAACCGCTGTTAATAAAACCAATAAATTATCAAATCAGTTAGGGGGGGAAAACAAAATAAAGTTCAAGGAACACAACCATACTCCCCCCCTCAAACAGTAGTAAATCTAACATGCGTAGTCCAGTGCTCGTTACACTTAGTTTCTCAAAAACATTCTGGGTTGTTAGGAGCGTTTAAATTGATCTTCTAGATAACTCTTACGTGTTAGCTTCGCAGATCTGCCTATTGGGAAAAGAGGTTTATGTTTTGTTACAGTTAAAGTTTTATAATATACACATATTATACATAGAAAGAAACTAATACATACATCTGGTCTCTTTTAGTTGGCTTCTATTCTTCTCCTAATACTGGTGGAGTTACTAAATATTCTTCTAACTCGCTTTCTACATATTCTTTCACCTTTTCTTCGATGTCTATTTCTGTCTTTTCTTCAACCTTTTCTACAACCTCTACAGGTACGTTTTCTTCTACTTTTTGTTCTATACGTTCTCCAACTGGTTCTTCTTTTTCTTCTATCATTTCTTGTTTGTTTTCTCCCGGGTTGCTCACTTGTTTATTTTCTTTATCATATGGAGTCGTGTCGAGGTTTTTTACATCTTCTATTTTGTCTATCTTCAAGTCAGGAATAGTGAGTTTCTCTACCCTATGGAATCTATTATTCGATACAATTATAGCTTTGTTTTCATCAATAATTTTTTGTTCCTTTAAATTCAGTTCAAAATCACCCAAAACTTGCTTAGTCTCTAAAGCGTCTTGTAAGACTTTTTGTAATTTACCAATTCTATCACTTTCATCGCTTTCTAATTTTCTCTTTCTGCTCTCTNTTTTCTACATTAATATCCTTTTCGAGTTCTTTTATCATAGCAGGAAAGTCAACGTCTTTCTCTATGATTCGGGAAAGTTCAAATTCTGAGTGTTTAAACGTGGATTTCATCATATCTTGATTATCCACATAATCCACACAAGCAATCGACTTAAATGTGAGCGAATAAAGGCCATTCTCTAACGTTACTCCATTCACTATGGAGGAAGGGAAATTCTTTAATGTAGCTGGTGATGGTCCATATTTTGTTGGTGGAAAATTGGGAACATATGTATTTACTTGTTGTGGAGCACCACGCAGTTGTGGGTGTTGATGGTGGTGTTGTTGATGCGAGGAGTGTGTCGCTGATACAATTTTACGCTTGAGTGGATGTCTTCCCATTATGATCTTTTTAAGCTATTGTTGGTGAGGTTTACTTAGTTGTTTACAGTTTTTAAACTTCAATTTTCAGGGTTGAAAGTTTTTGTTGATTTTGAGTGGTACACGCCCCAAGCTTTTTGCAGCCTGTGTAAATCACGAATATTGGCAGCCATGTTGATTTATACCAATACCCCAACTTACAACAAGGAGGTGGTCTACTTCTTTCGAGAGACATTCTACAGTCCTTGGGGTAGCAAATTTTCTGTTACATGAATGTCGATTTAAAAATAAACTAATACACAAGAATTGAAAAAGTAAAGATATCAAAAATATTGTTCCTTAACTATGTCCCTTTCTAAAATAAACTGTAATTATATAACCTCTTCAAGAGAGAATGCTTCCCTTTCAGTTATTCTTCTCTAACTCATCCCTTCAACTAAACTTTCTTCAATCCCATCTATCAACCCGTCAATATCCTCCACTTTTAAGCCACAACTCAAACTAATCAATTTTCTATACTTATACATCTTATCATCAACCGCAAACAAAGTAGTCCGTTCACCAATTTGTTTCACCAATTTATTTCTTTGGATTTGTAATTGTGTCAAATCAACCGCTTGTTCGAATTTCTCTTCATCTTCTTGATCACTATCGACAGCATCACCCCCTTTTTGTTGATCTTGTTCTACATATTTCATTTCTTGTTCTTGAACTAATTTCGCTAATGAGTAAGCTTGATTTCTCAGCATAACCCTAAAGAAATCTTGTTCTTTCTCAGATAAGATTTGTAAACATTTTTCAATATTTTCAAGCACGATGTCTTTTCCTTGTTCAACAGAATCAAAATCTTCAATATCAAGTCCAGAAACTCGAAAAATCTTCTTGAATGCCGACAAAATATCCCTATTCTCATTTGATTTCTGCTGAATCAAACTCTCAAGTTTATTCTGTTCATGATTAAGATTATTCATTTCCGAAAGATATGAATCACTAAGAGAATTAATCATTCCATTAATCATAGATTTCAAATCTGACATTTCCAACATTTTTTTCTCAGAACTAGGCAGTTCCAATATCTTTCCATTTTCATCCAATTGGGGTGGGTTTGGTTTATATGGAGTATGTTCCATCTTCATGATTCGGCTAACTTCAGGAGAACTGGTAACTATGGGTTTATCAAGAAACACATTATTATTAAGCGCATCTAGATGCTGTTTGTTTACGTGAGCGGTGATTTTCATATCGTCATCATCCTCGTCATCTTCTTGAATTGTAGTTCTTTGTGTATCTGGAGTTTCCGCGGCTCTTGAAGGATGTATTGGGGTAGCCAAAAGTTGATTATGAACTGGATAAGGATATGGTTGAGGTTCTCGTTGTGTGCGAGCCTGTATTTGTGGAAGGATTTGGGAATTTGGAGGTTGTGATAGTTGCATAGCTGGAGGTTGTAATTGGGGTTGTTGGGGTGGAGGTGGTAGCAATTGTTCCTGTGAAGGTGGAGGTCCTGGTGGTGGTTGATGTTGTTGTTGCGGTTGTTGGAAAATCGCCGCTTCCTGAGTATTATAATTGGGTATTAATCCATATTGTCCTATTAATAATCTTGCTGTTTCTCTCTGAACATTCTCCAACTCATCTCTAGCTCCATATTGTAAAAGTGACTTCACCAATTTAGTACAACCTGCCCTAACAGCAATATGTAAACAAGTATCTCCATTCACATCTTGATGATTGATTACATTACTCAATAATTCCGGTTTGATATTATTTGACATTGTTGTAAGTTTATTCAAAATAGTAGTCAAATAATATCTTAGACTTTCATATTTCGATTTCATTTTCGAAAATTGAGCTAAATAATGTAATGGCGTTCTACCATTAATATCAGTATTTATCAAGCACAATTCCAAATCATCTAATACCTTAGGGAAATTCTTCAATTCATAACAATTATTAAATGAAATCAATTTCGAAAGTGGATTCAATCCAAAATTATTCACTACCAATGGATTGGCACCTTTAGATAAAAGTAAATGAATCATTTGATGATTTCCAATAGATGAAGCCCAATGAAGGGCAGTATGCCCTTCATCATCAATTGCTTCATTTATGTTGAAATCGGCAGGAGGATAATTTATGAAATATGGAATTTCGGCATCATCATCACTAAAGAACTTTAATAATTGGGCTGAATAGGTATTATCACTTTTTAAGATTTGATTCTTCGTATCTCCATCTGCTGAATTTATTGACGTATCACTCTCACGTTGTGACCAATTGGTGTCATTGGAAGATTGTGATGAAGTTGGAACTTTTTGATAATGTATTGGAAGATTGTTATTTGATTGTGGGGCACTATATCCGTTTCCATTATAAAATTTGGCAATCTGCTGCTGTTGCTGTTGTTGTTGAGCTTGTGCTTGTTGTTGATGTTGCATTTGCATTTGAAAATTTTGAAACTCATTTGGAAATGGCATATTGTTATTTATAGGAATGAATTCATTTTGACTGAATGGAGCTGTTCCTGGTGGTAATTGTTGTGGAGGAATTGCTTGAGGTATTCCTCCTTGTAAACGGCCAGCACCATTTGTTGGAGCTACAAGCTGTTGCGGCTGTTGTTGTTGTTGTTGGGGTGGTGGTGGTGGTGGTTGCCCATACATTTGCTGAAATTGCCCATTAGGTGCAACATATGAAGGATGTCTAGATCCCCCATTGAATGCTTCTTGAGGAGGAAATCCTCCGTTTGCTGACACGATTGTAGCAGCAGCTTCAACCTCTGCAGCCGCAGCGTCTGCCACAGCTTGTTGCAAGGCTGCCTTTTTCCCAGTTTTATATTTCTTAATTGGCGTATCTCCTACTACTTTTGGTTTCTTGACATATTTTCTCTTAACCAGTGAAGGTTCTTTAGGTACAGGTTTAGCTTTATTGGGAATGATTAAATTTGGGTCATTGAAATCCAAATATAGCACAGGAGCATCTTCTTTAGTGACTCCATATGTAGCTGCTAATCTTCTTGCATCATCCAATGGAATCCAAGTTCCTTGAAATCTTCCAAATCCACCTTGAATCTTTTCATGTAATCCCAGTTGAACACCTTTTTCTAAAATTTTGGTTCTTCTTGCTTTAGGAAAATTACAACATTTTAAGATTTGTGTGGCATTAACCCAATCATCTTTACATCTCCTCATGATTGGTGAATCATTCATTGAACATTCATATACATCAGTCTAATATCATTGTTAGTATTTGAGTTCTATAATTTGGTGTGTACATATAAAAAAAGACGCGTCGAGTTTGTGTGTGTGTATGGGGGGGGAGTGAGTATGGAATAAGTAGGGGTGAGAAAAGAATGATAGATTTTCACGTAAATTGAATTAAAGGTTTTTGAATATCCTTCTTTTATACATAAGTGGAATTAAACGTTTTACGTTTGATCGACAATGATACATACGTTTGAGTAAGTAGCTCGGAACACTTGAGGAGGTTCTGACATTTGGTACTTTCTATTGGTTCATAAATCTCTAATGAATGAAAGAGAGAGAGAGAGAAGAAGATTTGAAAATAAGATTTTTTTTTTTTTTGGTTTCAATCTCTATGTGAAAAAAAAATTAGAATTTTAAAGTTTTGTTAAATTAAAGAGAGAAAGAAAAAAAAAGCAGAGAAAATTGTCAAAGCTGGGGGGGAGGAGACCGAAAAAGGAAATACTGACGCGTAAAAGAAAAACAAAATTTCAATTCTAGATCTCTCTTACTTAAGATTTTATTTACTTCCATCAATCATACGACCTAGAAATAAATGAAGGCTATATTTTAGATCGTACGACAATTCTCTGACTTATCTCTGTAATCTAGAGTGTTCAATTGCAACATCGTGTAGTATGAGCGCTGTATATTTATATAGTTTATTTCATTGGTTCCCGCATAATACACGTATGATTGGTAGCATAACCATGTTACTGTCTCGTCTGACTACTCTTCCCAACCAAATGTTGATCTCTTCAGACAGAGTCAATCTTAGTTTTGAAAATAAACATTGATTAATTCTTTTCATTTGGATGGCCTTAAGGTATACTACTTCCGAGCCGTGTTTTAATACACCGTTTTAATTTTTTCGCAGCCATTTTAGCAAAACTAGATCCTACACGCACAATAAACGACAACAAACAACCACAAAAAGCTATTTGAAAATTTTAAAGACAAAATTGGACTCCATCCTAATCTATTCAAAGCGACGCTCATATCCTTCTACGGCATACCTTTCTAGTGGTGTTTAAGGATAAACTATGTATGTGAGGAAAAGAAAGAATCAGATACGTATCGCAATTGCAAAAAATTTACCCAATGAGTCGGGAAAAATGGAGACAGCGAACACTGAAGCCAGATTACACACTTCAGAACAAATGGCTCCTTTGGAAAGTGTTTAAAACTAATTGGGTGAATTTTGGAAGTATCAATTTGAATACTATAACCTTCCTAGACGCGTCAGGAATGACCTCTGCAGCAGTGCGTATACATCAGCCACACTTCTATCACAAGTATCCGACAGTTAGACGTAGAGGTGTCCTGATTGATGTGATGATTTCAGAAAGCTTTTTAACTTATCAGCAATTGTATTAAAATTTTCAAATCACCCTAATTGACAAACCATGAGAAACTACGCTTCTTTTAACCATGTTTGAGTTACTTTCTAACGTGGCCCCTCCTTTACGGAAGGTACAAACCTAAAATTGATACATTAATCCTCCGCGCCAAGCTTTTTATAACATCTTGGAATCGATTACTGTAAGATTCCAGTGGAATAGGCAACGCTTTGAAATGCAATGAGATGCAGTATGTTGGCACTAAGATGCAAACGGAACATGCCAACCGTAGAAACCTTCACAATATCATGTCTTATTTTCTTGGTTTCGATGTCATATGTCAAAAAATCTGTGGAGTGGTTTTGTGGTTAGAGTTTGTTTGCATTGTCTCACTTGAGTATTTAAATGCTAGTGAATTAGTTTAAATTGAAGAAAAGTTTCACCTTTTGTAAAGTACTACTTGAATTAGATTAGTTATTGAATATTTATTTATTCATAGTAACCACTTGTAGTTAACAATCTTCAAATCAGCATGCACAAGTTCTTACTCCAAGAACAATAGAGTGGTGGTACTCGGCTTTAACATTGTTGTATGAAAAAGTATAATGGTTATTGTCTCGAGTAAACAATTTTAAAATTAGAAACACGTTCGATAGTTACATCCAAACATCAATAATAATAGCAAATTATGTCATAGATTTTTTTTTTTCTTAGGATGCAGCCATTAGGTAACAACAACTAAGCCATTTCGTCACTTCGGAATTTATTTTTATTTTTTATTTCTTTTCAATAAATTCATGAGTTGTTCTCTTTTGCTTATTTATACGTAAGAATTACAACCGTCAACTATTACAACCTCACTCCCCACCTTAGCTCCTCCCTAATTGTCCTGTTAGAACTATAAATAAGCCTGGATCCATCATCGTTGTGTATTATAAACCATCCAAAACTACCACGTCATCTCACAGCGGTGCTTTTTTCCCCTTATCTGATCTGATTAGAAACACTGTTCCATTTCCCGAATTTCGCATATCAAATAAATAATTAATCCCCTACCCTTAATAGACGTCACACACAATCACACAAGCTATGACACAGACGGAGAAAGACAAGAAACGATATCCACCGTCGAGGATAGGTATCAAACAACCTCGTCGAAAAGAGGTCACAGGAACTATCGTCATGTTGGATGACCCGGATGACGATGGTGCCGATTCTATTGCCATGAAAAGATCAGCAACTGGTGTAATATTAAATCCTCAACCTCATGATTCCCCTAATGATCCTTTAAATTGGCCATTATTGAAACGGGATTTATGTTTATTTAGCGTAGGATTTGCTAGTTTCTTAGGTGGTGGTCAATCACCTTTGTTGGCTGCTGGTATGAATGCTTTATCTGTTGAATTTGATAAACCTTTAACTACTATTGCATATTTAGTCGGTGGATTCATGTTAGCATTAGGATGTGGGTCCGTTATTGCAAGTCCAATTGCTGTCATGTATGGTAAACGTTTAGTTTATATTATTTTTACTTTGATTTTCTTTGGTGGCGCAATTTGGGGTGGTGCATCAACCAGTTTTGGAAGTCTTATAGGTGCAAGAATAATGACCGGTATTGGTGCTGCGCCAACTGAATGTTTACCAAGTTCCACAATTGCAGAAATTTATTTTGCTCATGAACGTGCCTATAGAGTAGGTATTTATACCATGTTAATGTTGGGAGGTAAAAACATCGTCCCATTAATTTCAGGGTTAGTTTTCCAATGGTTAGATAGACATTGGGTGTTTTGGATTTTATCAATCTGTTTAGGACTTACTGTTGTTTTACTTTTCTTTTTCGTTCCGGAAACGTTTTGGGATAGAACTCCAACTCCTTCAAAAAGATCCTTGGAAGAAACTGAAGCCGCTAAAAATGTTGCTTCTTATCACCCTCCAGAACAAAGACCAAATGCTTACGCATTAAGACGACCCTCACAAATGAATTTAGGTCCAGTATATTCCCTTTCATCATCTGTGAATGATGAAGATGTAGAACAAGCTCATAAACCAGTAGGTGTAACTGAGGATGTATTACCAGAAACTGGAGTTGTTGAAGAAAAGAAAAAGTCATATTGGAAAGACTTGACAATCTATCAAGGTCGTTTCACTCAAGATAAATGGTGGATGATCACATTACGTCCATTTTTCTTATATTCCTACCCAGCGATATTATTTGGTTCATTGACATATTCACTTGCTGTTGTTTGGTTGATTGTCATTTCAGAAACAATTGGCGAAATCTTTAGAAGTCCACCATATGGATATTCTCAATTAACAGTTGGGTTATTTTATGTTTCACCTTTTGTTGGTGGTATTTTAGGTTCACTTTCTTGTGGATTGGTCTCGGATAGGATATCACGTTTTATCGTTTCCAAGAATCATGGAGTTTACGAACCTGAATTCCGTTTAGTTATGATCATTCCATCCACTTTTTTCATTGTGTTTGGATTAATGGGATTCGGCTGGTCTGCACAAGTGAAAGACCCTTGGATTGGTCCAATTATATTCTTTGGTTCTTTGAGTTTTGGTAGTTCTATGGCAAGTACAACAGCCATCACGTTCGCTGTGGATTCATATAAAGTTTTTGCAGGTGAACTGTTGGTTTCATTTAATTTTTTGAAAAATTTCCTTGGGTTTTGTTTTTCATTGTTTAATAATAGTTATATTCATGATGAGGGTCATAGAACTTCATTTATCACTTATGGTTGTATTCAATTGTTTGTTAGTCTTTTTGGTATTCCTTTGTATATTTATGGGAAAAGATTAAGATCTTGGACTGATGAAAAGGAAATCATGAGATGCTTGTATATTGAAGAAAATAGACCTCCAAGCATGGCTTCTAGAAAGCTTGATACCGATGGTGATCTGCATGATGGAGTCACTATGTAATATATGAAGAGGAAGAAGAATGATTTATAGATTTATAAAATTTTATTTGATATAAAATATGGTTGCTGGTAATAGATGTTTATAATTGCATATATAGTCTCATGACTCTTTCCTATTAACTTTATTTGGTTTGCATTTTTCTAATGAATCTTGTTTAATGTTTATTCTACATAATTAAGTCTAATAAATAGAGCACCTCTTCTTGTCTTGACAAATTTGCAGCACCGAATGTTTTTTACAACCAAGGAAACTCAACTTCTAATTCCGGATTTTGATCCTTGTAATATTCAAGTCTTTCTTTTAGAGTTTTACCATTGAACATATCTCCCTCCACGTTAGGCATACCTATTTGTTCAATTATGCATCCACTTGCAATATTCCCTGCTACTCCTGCGACTAACCAATCTCCATTACTTAAATAATATCCCATCATAAATCCTTCCTCCGGTAACATCGATCACATTAGCTGGGTCTTGATGATATGCAGGAAGGCCGAATGAGTTTCCCCCTTTGGTTGATATATGACACCCTTGGGGCCCGCATCGAATCACAGTTCCAGAATTTGGCAATTGTAAAAACTCAGAGAATCGGGTAGCAATTTCCTTGACGTCTTCTTCACTTGAAGAATTTAAGAGATCACGAGCTTCATCTAAATTAGGAGTAAATATGTTAATCTTTGGAAGTAACCTTTTCAAAGCTTCCAAATTCTTATGTTTACAATCATCAGGCAATGGTTCAAAAATAAACATCTTCTTTTCCTCATCCTTGTCAAAAATCTCATTCAATCTATCTATAATCTCTTCACACCTCAGTATAGAACAAATCAAATGATATGCCCTCGACTCTGCCAATTTCGGAAATTCCAAAACATCATCAACCACAATTCGTTTCTTTGGTGTCTGATAATAAAATGATCGTATATCATCTTCCGAATATACATTCACGCCCCTAGTAGTTAATCTAGACTTATCTTCTCGAAATATAACCCCAGTTCCCCAATTCTGTATTTCTGATTCTACCTCCTTGGGGAATTCTGCTCCTTTGTCGATAATTCCCGAGATTTGTGATGCATGGTTAATGGTTGAAATCACACGTGCTCCGATTATGGCATACGGTCCTGCTCCTCCTATTTGGTCGGTTATTGGTGGTTTATTTGAGGAAGGGGGATATTGGATTTCGTCAATTATCATCATCCCCAATGTTGTTAGTATAGTTTGTGACATGATTGATTAGTGACTGTTATTGAAGATGTTTATCTTGAAAATTTATTGGACAACTTAAAAAAGCAGATTTTTATAAGCATTTGGTAGCGAAGATTTGGTTGCGAAAACAAAGGGAAATAGCTTGCAACCCGGAGATATAGATGGGTGAGCCTTTTAAAGTTCACATGTCAGGCGAAAATAGTCAGCGTTCTTTTACAAGAACATCTACATCTTCAGGCTTTATATATAGATGTATTCTAAGTTTTAAATGAGCTACATGTAGAAATGAAATCGAAAAAAATCTATTAAAATGCAAACCCAACCGTTAGAATCTGCCGTATTCCAACAAAGGGCTAGTTCTCATCTTCATTGTGGTTGTGTTCCTCGTCCTCTTCTTCGTGATCAGACATGTAGAAATTTTGCAAACAGCATCCACAAGCCACGACTCCCAAAACGAACCAAGATAATTCAGCAACTTCCTTCCGATCACTATAGGCAATAAAATATCCCCAACTAATTGGACCAACAAATCTAGATAAGGAAGTCATACTCAAGGTAGTACCATTGATGAATGCTCTATGTTTTGCTGGAGAAGCTCTGTGTAGCAAGACTAAAATAGTTGGGAATCCAATGGAGGCTGCACATGCATATAAGGAACAAACCAAATAAAGTAATAGTTTGGTTAACCATTCTGGATTTTCTGGGTTATATTGAGAACGAGTGAAGACTAAGTATGGTAAGATGAAATAAGCAATTGGGTAAAAGATGGAAGAAAATCTTAAAATATTGATAGTTTTGACGTTTCGCTCGATGTATGGGTAAAGAATTAGGATACCAAAGGCAGCAATGAGCCCAGTACTTGAAAGTAAGTTCCCAATCATATTGTTATCATATCCGAAACCACCAACTATTTTGAAAGGAAATTCTAATTCTTTAGGAAGCAATTCTGCAGCTAGTAAAACCGGTAAGAACTCACTATAAATAACATTATGGAAACAGATAAGGAAGTTACTTACAATACTTTGGATAACTGCAGGAGTAAATATATCTCTTGAAAATGATTGTGGGATGTTAGTTGTCAAAATAGATCTACCATCATTGGAAATAACTGGACCCAATTGATTGGAGGAATACCTCCTGGCAACTGCGGACGAATACTTCCTTGATACTGGCACGAACGAGCTAATTGAAGCATCGTCTTCGTCATCGCTGAGAGTGGTCGCGTATAATTCTTCCGGAGTGTCATTTATTAAGGGAGTTTCTTCACGCACATTTTGGTTTCCTCTTTTCCATGGTCTTACTGGAACTTCAAACCCCAATCTTCTTAATATGAAATCTCCAATTTCTAACCCGATATCCTTTCTGTGTTTGAATCGTTCATTGGGTTCTTCAAGGAATAAGAATCCCATAATAAAACTAAATGCTAGGAAACTGGCAACTACTATATTGGATAATGCATATGGGAACTTATTAAGAAATCTTTCGTAGGCATTATCGTTTCCTGAATTTTCGAAAGTGTTCATAAAAAATCTGGCTATGAGCAGTCCATCGTCCAAATCGTCTTCTCTTGACTTGGGTCTTGTTAAATACTTTGAACCTCCGATCATAGGACCAAGAACAGCACCAATGTTCCACAATAAAGAATACGAAGTAAAAGCAATACCTTGGTGTCTTCTTTCGGTGGCAACTTCTCCAATAGCAGTTCTCATAACTGAAATATTTCCATTAAGACATCCCATTAGACATCTAGCAAACATGGCCATGTAAAAATTCGGAGAGAATCCAAACAAAAGCATCGAGAATGCAGTACCCACTAACCCACATAATAAGATCCTTTTTCTACCTACACTGTCAGAAGCTTTCCCCCATTGAACACAACATAAAAATTGGAAGAACGAAAAGGCGGCGGATAAATAACCCGAGTATGTTGCGATATCAGCAGGATCTTTTGCAATATTGAAATCACGAATCATGAAATAAACATATGGAAAAAGGGACGTGAATGTAATCGGTTCTGCAAAACGCATACAGCTTAGAACTGCCATTTGCCATATCGGAAATCCTTTCATTTGCTCACGGAATGTGAGCTTGTTGGAACGAGACATGCTGGATAAATTTAGATCTGGTGGGAAAGAAGAAAGAGAATGAGATACGAAAAAAATTTTAAATTTAGAATTAATTTTTCCGCAGCTATTTTATCTTACCGGAGGTGGGGTCTAATGTAGCATTATCACTATGACTAATAAATTTACTTTTTCACTAACAAAAACACAACAGACAACCCCCATTTGGTTAACAATAGTCTTAGTCTCCTACAAACTAAGTGCTAGGCGCTTACCTTTTTTTTGGTTTGGCAATGGGGAGAACTCTGTTCTTTTAGTCTGGAACGGTTGCAAAAATCGTAAGTCCCCCTAGTACAAACCCCGATTCTACAAAACATATTCAGAACAAACGATAAGTTCGCTATAACATATATATATTACGTCCCAACACTGACTATAATAATAGAAAGATAATGCATTACTAGCATAGAAACCTTGAGTTGACCTTCATGCACATCATACGGCATCAAACTAAAGAATCAATATTTTCTAAGCCATTGTCTCAAAGCCCACTGTTGCACAAAATTGTTTGCACCTAAAAAAACGGTCCGAAAATATTCACATTCTCGGGAAAAGAAGTTCCAGACAGTTTGAAGAGCTATTCATATTTATCTATCAGATCGAGAAAGGCTGTATATAGTCAAGCTCTAATGGATTAGCTACAAAATATACCAATTGAAGAGAATATCCAATGTCTCCCTTACAAATACCCGAAGTCTTTACATAAAAACGATTGGGCACTGTTACCACGGGAACTTATTTTTTGAGACATGGTTTTTAGAGATCTTGAGAACACCAACTTCATGCAAGAAGTATCCTAAAGCCAGAAGACATATCTCAAATGGGATTTAAGTTTAATAAGCGCCCCAACAAAAGTATAAAATTACTGAACTCGTATTCAATCTATAAACTCAAACTTGCATACAATTTAAAACACATTATATAAAAACCCTATCCAATGCAACTGTTAAACTTGATTGTCATTTCCATGTTTATTGTCTTCTTCATCTTCATCATAATCCTTCATAAAGAATGTTTGTACCACCATGACCAAGGCCAAAATGGATAACACCCACCAAGAAAGCCATCCGATCTTATACTTATCACTGAAGGACATAAGATATCCCCAGGAGATAGGACCAATGAATCTGGACAATGAATTCATACTCAATGCACAACTATTGACGAATGCTCTGTGTCTAGCTGGTGCGGATCTATGTACTAAAATCAAGATATTAGGGAAACCTACAGCTCCAGAAACATTCGACACACAGAACAAAATGTACAATAATGTTTTTGTCAACCATGGTGGACAATTTGGATTGTATTCGGTACGGGTAAATATCAAATATGGCACTATGGCATATGCAACAGGGAATATTAATCCAGAAAATCTCAATAAAGTCAATGTTTTGAAATTACGATCAAGAATTGGAAAGATACACATAACCCCAACGGCTCCAGCAAACCCTGAAATGGAAAGTAATTTCCCAATGCTGTCACTGTCATATCCAAATCCCCCGACAATCGTAAATGGAAATTTCAATTCGTCAACAAGTAATCTACCAGCAAGTAACACTGGAAGGAATTCGCTACAAATGACGTTATGGAATGCAATAAGGAAATTTGCAACCATTGTCTGAATAACAGCAGGGGTAAAGATTTCTCTTGTGAAAGATTGACTTATATTTGTGGTAAGGATAGATGCAGAAGTGGTGGTTCTTGAAACGACTGGTCCCAATTGACTGGATGAATATCTTCTAACAAGTGCACGGGAATATGATTTGGTTATTGGACCGAATGAGTCGATTGATTCTGAATCTTCATTGTCAACATTTTCTTCATCTTCGTCGTCAACTGTGGAATACACCTGTTCAGACAGAAGCCTACTAGTTATCAATGGGGCCAGTTCTGTTGGAACTGATTCACTTGGGATACTACTTGTTGTTTGAGTTTGTTTCACCTTTTGCCAAGGTCTGACCGGCATTTTGAAGCCTAACTTTGTCAAAATAAAATCACCAATTTCCAAACCAACGTCTCTTTTCTTCTTGAACTTGTCACATGGTTCTTCAAGAAACAAGAAACCCATTGTTAAACTGAATAACAAGAAACATGCTACCACGATGTTTGACAATGCATAAGGGTATTTGTTAAGGAAGCGTTCATAAAGATTGTCGTTGTTGGAGGCTTCACTTTGTACACCTAATAAGTAAGTGCCTATAAAGGCAGTTCCTTCTGAATTGGGATTCTTTGGTCTTGTCAAGTATTTTGAACCTCCAACCATTGGTCCAACAACAGCACCTATATTCCACAACAATGGTAAAGTCGAAAATGCAATACCTTGGTGTCTCCTTTCTGTTGCAATTTCTCCTATAGAAGTTCTAATGACCGATATATTCCCATTTAAAGTACCCATAAGTGATCTGGCAAACATAGCAACATAGAAATTGGGGGAAAATCCAAAAATCAACATGGAGACAGAAGTACCTGCTAATCCTAACATTAAGATACGCTTTCTTCCAACTTTATCGGATGCTCTTCCCCATTGGACACAAAAGAAAAATTGGAAAAATGCAAATGAAGCTGCTAAATAACCTGAATATGTTGCAATATCAGCAGGGGTTTTGGCAATGTGAAAATCTCTAATCATGAAATAAACGTATGGGAAAAGTGATGTAAATGCTATTGGTTCAGAAAAACGGATCAAACTTAGTACGACCATTTGCCATACTGGAAACCCTTTCATTTGCTCACGGAAAGTGAGCTTGGGAGTTGTTTCTGCCATGCTTGGTTTCTAATGTTTTAAGGAAGAAAAGTGTTATCTACTTTGAAGTTTTTTGAAATGAAAAAAAAAGAAGTGATGATTATGACTAAATATAAACTGAAGATCACGAATGTAATAATATTTTATTATTTTTTTTTTGATTCGGAATAAAAATGAAAATTGAAAAAAATATGACGTTTAAATCAAACCCAATTGTTATTAAACAGCCACAATCATTGTATATTATTGAGCAACAAAAAGTATTGCTCATATCAATATATAATGAGTCATTGGACTCAGACGTGATAATAATGGTACTAACTTGTTGTAGTTGTTGATAAATGGGGGACTCATTGGCCACCCCTCCCCAAACCCCAAAAAAACGATCGGTAATTATTGCCCCTTAAAAAAAGATTATCGGTCTTTACCCCAGATCGACACCACATATTAAATTATAAACTGTTTAAATCCTCGGCAAATTTCTAGAAATGTTTTTCCATTGCCAAATCATAAAAGTTTTCCCACTTTTTATAACCAATGACAAACCCAATAGAGTTTTTAAATCAATTAAGTTAATAGTGGCTTTATCTTTACACATGTTTTTGTGTTCCATATAGGTTTGTGTCCAATATGCTTTGTGTTCTTGCGATGACATAATCTCAAAGAGTAGACCGCCTTCAGATTGAACATCAATCTAACGGAAATAAACAACAAGGTGCTTAAATTAAAGCAATCTTCACTGTCGCTTGAGAAATTGAATTAATCAACTTCATAATTGGTTTGAAAAGACGGCGCAAAATTTATTATTTTGTTGTCTCTAAAATTTGCAACACCTTTTTTTGGTATATCCCTGTACAAAAGCAGGGGGATCAGAAGTTTTTTTTTTTAAGTCAGTAGATGGTCCTGGTATTGTTTGACTGTAAGATTAATGGTATCCGTTGGCTTTTTGATTTCAAACTATGCTGGTTGATCTTTGTTAAAATTGTGAAGCGAAAACTCGACACTCTTTTTAGCTTTCGAATATACTTATATTTGACGGGAAAGGTTTTGAGTAGCGATCTATCTGCAACTTTACCCTTCGCCATATTCCATTCTTTTTTCATGGGTGAAATTGTTCTTGAAAAACGCTTCTAAAATCAACCGTCTATGTTTCCACGACTCTCTAGTAACGTGTTTCTATTTTGGTTTCGTCTTCATTTGGAAGTGTAGCTCCGGAATGGGTATTCAGTTTACACATATTATATGCAGGTCAGTAAAAAAACGGTGAAAAATTGCCCGCTTGGCCAAGTGGTAAGGCGCTCCACTCGTAATGGAGCGATCGCCGGTTCGATTCCGGCAGTGGGCAAGCTTTCATTTTTTTACATCAAATAGAATGTTTTTGTATTTACTAATAAAGAATATCTTACTTGCATTTATTTAGCAGGGTTAATTGGAGGTGGTGGAGGTTTGGGGCTTCCCGGTGAGATTTTATTCCCTTGGTCGTCCTTCTCTTTTGATTTTGCCAATTCTTCATTCATATAATCATTCA